TTCTCCCCTGATGGCGAGTATGTCGCCTACCTGAGTTTCGACGAGACCGGTGTCGAGACCTTCACCATTCCTTACTACATGGACGGCCAGAAGACGGCCCCCGTCTACCCCCGAGAGCTCGACCTCCGCTACCCCAAGGTCGGCACCACGAACCCTACCGTCAAGTTCTCCCTGCTCGAGGTTGACTCGGGTGAGCCGACCACTCTCGAGGTCGATGCCTTTGCTGCTGACGACCTCATCATCGGTGAGGTCGCCTGGGTCACCACCAACCACACGAGCGTTTTGTACCGCGCCTTCAACCGCGTCCAGGACCAGGAGAAGGTTGTCCGGGTTGATGTCGAAGACCGCAAGTCGACAACCATTCGCGAGCGTGACGGCTCCGACGGCTGGCTGGACAACCTCCTCGCCATCCAGTTCGTCGGCAGGCTGAACGGCACTTGCGACCCTTACTACCTCGACATCTCTGATGTGTCTGGCTGGAAGCACCTGTACCTCTACCCCGTCAAGGGCGGCGAGCCCATCGCCCTGACGGAGGGCGAGTTTGAGGTTGCCTCGGTGCTCAAGGTCGATACCAAGAAGCGCCTGATTTACTTCACCTCGACTGAGCGTCACAGCACTGAGCGCCACTTGTACTCCGTCTCTTACCCTGGTGGCGTCAAGAAGGCGCTTGTCGATGACACTGTTCCTGGGTACTTCGGCGCTTCCTTCTCTGCCGCTGGTGGCTTCTACATTCTGAACTACCTCGGACCCAATGTTCCCTACCAGGAGCTTTACGCCACCAACTCGACGAAGCCCCTGCGTACCATTACGACCAACGATGCCCTCATCGCCAAGATTGCCCAGTACAAGCTGCCCAACATCACGTACTTTGAGCTTGAGCACCCCGAGGGATACTCCCTGAACGTCATGCAGCGCCTGCCTGCCAACTTCGACCCCAGCAAGAAGTACCCTGTCGTTTTTACCCCCTACGGCGGCCCCGACGCCCAGGAAGTTCATAAGCGATTCCAGGCCATTAATTGGCGCGCCTACATTGCTTCGGACCCTGAGCTCGAGTACATCACCTACACTGTCGACAACCGTGGCACAGGCTGGAAGGGCCGCGAATTCCGCGCCACTGTGGCCTCCCACCTTGGTCGCCTTGAGCCGCTTGACCAGATCTGGGCCGCCGAGCAGCTCATTGCCGAGTACGATTTCATCGACGCCGAGCACATTTCCATCTTTGGCTGGTCCTACGGTGGCTTCCTGGCCGCCAAGACCCTCGAGGAGAACTCGGGCGTCTTCACCAGTGGTCTGATTGTCGCGCCCGTCACCGACTGGCGCTTCTACGACAGCATGTACACTGAGCGTTACATGAAGACCAGCCAGATGAACCCTGATGGCTACAATGAGACTGCTGTGACTGACACCACTGGTTTCAAGAACCTGGCGGGCAAGGCGTACATTGCGCACGGCACTGGTGACGACAACGTGCACTACCAGAACACCGCCGCCCTGGTTGACCTTCTTGTCGGCAATGCCGTACCGCACGCCAAGTTCAACTGGCATGCGTTCACCGACAGCGACCACAGCATTGTGTACAACGGCGCTGGTGCTTTTATCTACAAGGTCCTGACAGAGGCCCTGTATGCTGAGAAGAACCGCAAGGGTGACCCCCTGAAGCACCAGTGGAGCCGCAAGTCTGTGGCGAACGCCAAGTTCGTCTACGAGTATTGAGCGTATCTCGAGGAGGGGAGGGTCCGAACAGGATAGCCTCTAGGCGTAATTATAGTATAATAATGAACATGAATACCGTACACTTTGAGCATTTGGAATCTTTAGCGCACCAGATTGATGTGCGATGTACCTGGACCGCCTGAGGATGACGTCACTCCTCAGTTTGCCATCACGTGACAGCGCGTCACCCGCCAATTTGTAAAGTGAACGCGCCTGAAGCCTGAACGCGCACGGTTCAGGAATTAGCAACCGGCCGGCCACCAGCTGAAGTATCACAATCACCAGTTCATCAGATCCCGATCTGTGAAGCATCCAAAAGGGGAATGCGATACGTTGTTCCTTCATATCTCATTGCAAACCTAAACCCAGTCCCTAACTCGCGCAGAGGAAGATGGCGGACGACTACGACTCGGGCGACGACCTCTTTGACGGGGTGAACGAGGATGCGCTCCTGCAGAGCTCTCAGGCCCAGACCCCCGCCAAGCGTCCCCTCAACGAATCCGACGGAAATGCCGTGTCGAGAGCTCCATCGGATGAAAACCCCTCGAAACGCCCGCGTATTGGCAATTCAGACACGGATGGCGGCTCGTCCTCTTCGTCGAAGCTCGCTCTTGCGACGAGCATCTTGAAGGAGAAATTTGGCTACCCGGCTTTTCGACACGAGCAGGCGGCGGCCATTGAGAGGATCCTTCACGGGGAGAACAGCCTCGTTGTGTTCCCGACGGGAGCGGGCAAGTCGCTCTGCTACCAGGTCTGGCCCTCTTCCCCCCTCTGCCGAGTCTGGCATCTCCTGAACGGGCATGATGTGCTAAATGTAGGTTGCAGATCCCAGCCATCGCTTTCGAGGCCATGGACCGCGAGACCGGCGACAGGGAGGAGGGCGACTCGGGCGTGACCATCATCGTGTCGCCGCTCATCGCCCTGATGAAGGACCAGGTCGACGCCCTGCAGCGGAGGGGGATCGCGGCCGAGTGCATCGACTCGACCAAGTCGTGGGAGCAGATCCAGGACATCAACGCCTCGCTGCGGAGCGGCAAGCTGAGAATGATCTACTGCGCGCCTGAGCGGCTGAACAATGAAATGTTTGTCGAGAACATGAAGTATGTGCGTGGCGGCGTCAGACTTCTTGCTGTGGATGAGGCGCATTGTATTTCCGAGGTGAGCCACTTTGCCCCCCCTCCCGCTTTTCGATGAGAGAGTCGCATGGGCTGAGACTGATGATGCATAGTGGGGACACTCTTTCAGGCCGGACTATCTAAAGGGTATAGTCGTTCACCTTTTTACCACGGGTGACTTTGGTTTGCTGACTTGATCCAGTTGCGCGCTTCGTTGATGAGATCAAGGCGGAGAAGGTTATCTGCCTGACGGCCACCGCGACTCCCGTCGTTGCCGATGATATTTGCAACGCTTTTAGTATTTCCAAGGACGGCGTCTTCAGGACATCGCCCTACCGCCCCAAGTACGACTTCTCTCCCTGCTCCCTGATGATCAGCTGCTGATGTGCTCAGTCTTCGGCTCGAAGCTGTGGCGACAAGCAAGCAGGAAGAGAAACGAGATTTACTTCTTGCCTACCTGAAGAAGCACAGGGGCTCGACCCTTGTATATGTGACGCAGCAGAGGGTAAGTAGAGTTGCATCGCTTCTCAGGATGAACGGCTGATTGAACTTGTCAACAGCAAGCCGAGGATCTGGCGCTTGACCTCAAAAAGCAAGGTTTCAAAGTCCAGGCATTCCATGCCGGCATGAAGACGGAGGAGAAGACCCGGATCCAGGATGCATTCATGGCATCGAAAGTCGACATTGTGAGATGACATGCACATTTCTGCCTTTGATTTACATCACGGCTGACTTGGTAAACCCAGGTTGTTGCTACAATTGCGTTTGGCATGGGCATCGACAAATCCGGTATGCTGAATGACCAACACATGAAGGGATTTGTTTTACTAACCCACACAGACATCCGGAGCATTATCCACTGGGATTTGTCAAATACCGTGGAAGAGTACTGCCAGCAGGTTGGTCGTGCTGGTCGAGACGGCAAAGAGAGCCACTGCATGCTCTACCTGTGTCCGGAGGACTTTTACGTCAAAGAGGCCTTTGCCCGAGGTGACCTTCCCTCCCGTCAATCCCTCCGAGGTCTTCTCAAAGACATATTCAGCCCTGAGGTTCTGAGTCTATCAGTTGGCGACACATTCAAGACAAGTCATCACCCTCAGACGACGGAGTTCGACATTCGCATGAGCCCCTTGAGCATCATCTACGCGGCCCTCGAACTGCGTTTCAAGCTCATTCGTGCCATCACCCCCGAATATAGCTCTTACACCTTCGAAGCCAATAATGTCTACTACCCTCGCCTCAAAAATGACAAGAGCCCCGAGGCCGCCGCCATCTTGAACAATGCGAAGAAAGCCAAGAAATATCACAGCATCGACCCCACCGCTGTCTCCAAATCGACCGGCATCCGCCGCAACGACCTGATCAAATATCTCAACATGCTCAATGACACGGGCTGCATCAAACTCAAGGTCAGCGGCGTCCAGAACAAGTACAAAATTCTGAGCGAACTGCCCGGCACAGACAGGGAGATTGACGAACTGGTGGAGAAAGTCTACGCGGACCTCGAGCTGCGCGAACAGCAAGCCCTAGACAGAACGCAGCAGCTCATCAAGCTCGTGACGGCCAAGAAATGCTTCGCACTCTCCCTCGCCCAGCATTTTGGCATGGAGCTCCCCGGACAGGCGACGCAGTGTGGGCACTGCACCTTCTGTGTGACAAAGACGGCTGTTGAGCTGCCGGCGCCGGCGCGAAAGCCGTTCGATTTTGAGGCGGCCGAGAAGGTGCTCGAGGCTACTGATGTGCGTGATGATCCGAGATTCTTGGCGAGGGTCGCGTTTGGGATCAAGAGCCCACGCGTGACGAGGCTGGGGCTCGACAAGAAAAAGATCTTCGCGTCCATGGCGGAGAGTGATTTCGAGGTATGTTCTCGATTGATGCATTTAAGATCACTGGCTGACATAGCTTAGGCGTTGCTGGCCGAGTTCACGAAGGTCTGCAAATAGGGTGCTTCGTGCTCTCACGCAAAGTATCGAAGGCAGCAGTAAGGATCAAATGGTGTCACTTTGACGATCATGGACGGGCCAGAATGGTCCTAATGCATATTTGCAGTGACAGAAGCATTATACGGGCGTCGCATGAACCAAACGCAGGCTAGTTTATTACACGGCACGTACAAGACGCTCAACAGACGAAACAGGGGCATGGAGTGGCAATCGCTAGTCACAAACACACTCATCGCGGACGCTCCCTCACATGGTCCAGCCATTTATCCACAGTCTTCAGAAGCGGGTCCCCCGCGTGTCGATGGGAGCCAGACTTGCTCCTCGACTTTGCACCCTTGGCAACGTCGCGCACCATGTTCCTCTCCCGGTGCGACGTTGTTTGCGAAGCGGTTGATCGCGGTGCAGCGTAGTGACGGACCATAGCGCCAGCCACGCCGTTCTGGACAGACGGCTGCGTGAGCGTATCGCTAGGGGCAGAGGCGAGGCCGTGTCTTTGGGGTAGCGTGGGCTGCATCATCTGTTGCTCCGAGGGGCTCACCAGGAGCATTGGCCTCAAGGGCGTCATTGGGTTTTCAGGCTGGTATGTCAGGTCTTGTCCGATTTCTGCAACGGCTGGCGCCTCATAGGAGCCGACGGGGACGAGGATCGGGATGATTTGCCCGTATGTTTGAGTCATTGGTGCTATTTGCAACTGCATGGCCGGTTCAATTGGTGGGTACACGAGTCCCAATGTCGAGGCGGTCCTGGGGTGGGTGAACTCATATTCCAAGTTGTCTGGTATCGAGATGATCAGCTGCCTGCCAAAGTCTGGCTTTCCGAGCGCTCATGTACATACCGCCGTCGATCGGCTGTCGGCACCGGTAGAAGAAACCCCTCGTATCATAGACCCATGCTGACCAGGGGCCGGGCTCTCTGGGATCGATATCGGTACAGTCAATTGCAACGTCGCCTGGTGCTTCTGTCTCGTCTGCTGCCGCCTCTTCTTCAGGTTCGAGTTGCTGAGAGTCTTCGGATGGTTGCCGATGCTTCTTCTCTTTGCGTCGATGGCTATGTTTGCTATGATGACACCTGTGCTGAGAGGGATGTCCCATCTTCCGACTCGAGGGTAATATGTTCTGTTATTCTGCGTCAGGCTATCAATATTCTAATTGCATTCGTTACGCGGCCAGAACAGACGCCAGTGCTGCAGGCAGGCGGGCTCGGCATATTTATGTCACTGAGAAAGGGCAGTGCTAGACAGCGTAGGATATCAGATCTCACAGCCGCGAAAAGCCGACCCCAATTGGAATATGTCTCTTCGGTCAATAAATCAGGCAGCGAGAGCGAGAGGGGGGTAAACTTGGGCAGCCTTGCCTTTGGCTGGGCTTTCAGTTCAACAGCTGCAAGCCACCAGAAAGGGTGAGGCGCTGCCGAGACGATGTGCACTTGTACATGCGTAGACGGGGCTGGCCGCGCATGTATGATGACAGGGGCTGAGTGATACATGGTGGGAATGTCATCCCTCCTTGTCATTTCACCTGCGGCTTTCGTGGGACGCTGTTGGGAAGCACACGGAATGATTGCTCGTTGGGGGTTGGGGGGGGGGGGGGGGGGGCTGAGAGTTTAAACGGTTCGCAGAGGCAATCAGATGGAGGGTTTAGGCAGTGGTTAGGCATACAGGCCAATGCATGATCTGCGAAACACATTCGTCCATGCCCTGAAAGCTGGAAAGCAAGGAGATTTGTGGCTTCATTGGCATGGTCTCAACATGCGTAGTGATTGTTCCATGATTAGTCGGCATGATCCCAGGTCATGCAGGCAAGCTTTCTCAATTGGTGTCAAGGTAAAAGCACCCGTACTAGCTAGGATGTTTCTCATATGTCACATTGGCTTGAGACCTGACGATAGCTAGCTTGGGTCAGAAGGAAAGCCACATTTCCTGTGAGCTCAGCGTCACATGTCGTGTTAACACCACCTGCAGGCAACCGCTTCTTGTAGCAAGACGACGTTATTCTGATGTTGGAACTGCGAGAACAGCAACTTACCCCTCGGTGCAGTTCTCAATGCTCTCTGCAAGCCGACGATGGTAGGCAACTAGTTCGGCTCATACACTTCCGGCAGTGGCCTCTCCTCCACCCAGGCCAGGACACCACGTGCGAAGAGTTCCGGAAACTGAAGATCCCAAGCATGCAAGGCGTCTCGGACAACGACAGACCTTGACCCGTCGTCCAGTCTCTGGCCGCGAATCATCCTGTTCTCCAGCACTTGGCCAGCCAGCTTGCTAGCGCCCACGTCATCCTGCCTCCCACCGGCCACCATCAGTGTCCGGGCCTCAATCTTGCCCACGTCCTCGAGACGATATCGAGCGATGGTGGAAAACTCGTCACGGAGCATACCCAATTGGCAGTTCTTTCTCATCTCGACGAGTAGATCCTCATGCCGCCGCAAGCCCATCCAAGCGGCGTAGCGCCAGTAGAGCGCATCCGGAAGACCCAGAAGCGACCATGTAAAGCCGTATATCAGGGAGGGATACTGCGACGCGCGCAGCCTGAGGCCTTGAAACGGCTCGGCACCCGTGACGAAGAGGGATGTGACGAGCGAAGGATGTCGCATGGCGGTGACCTGGGCCGCGAAGCCTCCAAAAGAGAGGCCGACGACGTGGGCTTTCCCACCTTGCGCGTTGACCGATATAAGATCGGCCACGTGGTCCGCGACGTTCTCGAGTGATACCAGCGGTATGTGGATCGATTCCGAATGCTGCGGCAGGTCTGGCAGCAGCAGGTGATACTCTGAGAGGAGGGGAATGACGTCTGCGTATTCGAGATGACAGGAGAGTCCTCCGTGTAACAACACGATGGTCGACGGCTTTTCGATATTCAGCGAGACGAAGGCAAGCATCGGCCTTCGCAGTGACTCTCCTTGCGCCATGATTCGTCTTGCTACTGGTGAGCTTGGTCACGTCGAGTTGAGACGGGGAGGGAATTCGGGCAGACAAGGCTGTCAGTCAGTTGAGGTGATGTGAAGTGAATGATTAGCGCTGACCACGGCTCAGCTGACGGGTGTACGGAGCTGGCTCCGAACGACCCAGCCGACAGACCGACACCAAGCAGCAAGTTCCTGCACTGTACCTCAACCATCACGAATACGGCGGCCGTTGAAACATTGGCATTGATTTGACTCGGCTTCCTGACCGGCGTTCCTTGAACACGGCGCCATGGTTGGAGGCCTTCGGGACCAAACTATGCAAACACGCCGAACACCGCCCTGGACCCCGTGATTTCCCCAACACACAGCCTGAGCCAATTGATCAAGTGCGCCTCACGGATCGGCATTTTGACGTACACCTCTCCCTGTACGAAAGGCCGTGGCCAAATTCAAAGAGCGGGTCTTCGGTGTCAAAAGGCAAATCCTCCTTCGAAGCCTCGACAGCAGCCATCGACCGCGGCATGTCAAAGGGCAGCTTGCCCTCCGGCACCCAGCCGTCGACGCCAAAAACGATGTCGAGGAATGCATCGTGGCTGCTTCCGTAGTTCCCCATCAGCGCGGCAGCTGCCTCTGCAATCTCGGGCACAGCAGGTGGCCTGTTGAACTTGATGTCGACCACCGTCGGGACCGTAGCGTAAATCTCTGCCTGGCGCGCCTTTTCTGTGACGTTGAACTCGATGGAGCCGTTGTTGATGCTGGCTGCCAGCCCCGAGGCCGTCGTCGGCTTGAAGGGCGACGGGAGGCGGAGAAAGGCATAATCGGCTTCCTTGGGAGTACCAACGACCTTGAGGTTACGGGCCTCAAGGGCCGCCGGATCCATGCCCTCGACGTAAAAGCTGGCGTTGAGCGCCGACTGGGGCAGAGGCAGGAATTCGTCCGGGTTCGTGAGGAGGGTGAAAGCCCTGCGCTGCGTCTCGTTTCCGAGGCGGCTGAAGTACTCATTGCCCACGACCCTTTCAGCGGCGTCAACATTAACAAACGGGTTATCGAAGAGGCCGAGCTCGAACTTTTCCTTCATAAGCTTGCGGACGGAGTAATCGATGCGCTCCTCTGCGATTTGCCCGCTGTTCACAAGCTGGACGATCAGCTCGGGCTTCGTCTCGCCACCGAAAATGTCAATGCCAGCCTCGAGGGCCTTGCGCGCACGCTCCAGCTCGGTCAGGTCCTCGACGCCCCAGAAGCGCGTGGTGACGACCCCCCAGTCGGATACGACGATGCCTTCAAAGCCGAGCTCATTCTTGAGAAGGTCCGTGATGACGCCCTTGTTGAATGCAAATGCGACTTCTTCCCATTCGGTGCCGATGGGGCGGGAATAGTAGGGCATCATCTGGCGGGTGCCAGCCTTGATCGCGGCACGGAAGGGGATGAGGTGGTATTCCTGATTGTTGCCAGGATAGTTCTGATTCTTGCCCTGCTTTGAGTCAGAAGAACATTCTGTGACGCAACGTTGTTGTAGAAAGCCTGCCTACCCATTCAAAGTGCGAATCCTCGCCATTCTCCATAGGGCCGCCACCAGGGAAATGCTTCGTCGTAGTGATGACCGAGTGCGGTCCGATCTTGTCGCCCTGGAAGCCCTTGATGTACTCCACCAGCAGGGTGCTCGTGAGATTGGCGTCCTCGCCCATTGTCTGGGCGTTGCGTCCCCAGCGCGGCTCGGTGATGATATCGACAGTCGGGTGAAGCGCCTGCCTGATCCCCACGGACACGTACTCCTCCCGCGCAATCTTGGCGAACTCGAGTGCCAGCTCAGGCGACCGGAGCGCTGCGATACCCAAGGGTTCCGTCCACCGCGAGAACGAGGCGGCCACATTCGATACAGCCGTGTCGTCAGTCCATCCGTGCTGCGGGTCTGACGAGAGGGTGATGGGGACACCGAGGCCCTCGTCGCGAGAAAACTGCTGCAGCGCGTTTTGCCATTCTGCCACGACACGAGCGTCGTTGACGCCACCGCTGAAGACGTAATGAGTGATGTGCTTGTCGGCGACGTATGACTTGATGTTGGCGTCGAATGTATCGTTGATTAGAGAGGTACGGGCATGGAACATTTGCCCCGCCTTCTCCTCAAGAGTCATGCGGGAGAGGAGATCATCCACACGCTCATCGATGCATCGTGTTGAATCCCAGTAGGGAAGAATGTCTGCCCCGGAGACAACAGGAAGGACTGCCAAGGCAGCACCTAGAAGAATAGCGGTCCTCATATTTGGGTTGCGGTCATGTGAAATCAGAGTGAGTGTGAGGCGATGGACTCTTGTATCAACACCAATGGCAACCAATTGAAAGGAAGCCGGGCAGGTATATATGCTTCAGCACAATCATATTCGGGTTCGTGGATTATGATCAAATCAAGATGATCACACGAGTCATGGTTGCCGCTGGGCGTGAAGCTTTCCTTGTTGTTGAAGGCCAGATCAGACATCATCTTGCACCTGTATTCGGTCCGAGAACGCTGACCTTTGGCGACCTGCATCTTGAGAGGTGGAGTTGAAGAGATCCCAATAGTTGTGTATCTCGAGCCGCGAGAGCAAGATTTGCCGGTCACCCTGGCGACATGGAGCAGTCCATGAGCCTAATGACGGCCAACTCCCCGGCGGATGATGATGCCAAGATCTCGAGCTTCTACATGGCTGTTCCAACTGAGTAAGGCGAGAAGCCAAGGTCGAGACGTCAGTGGAAGCATGATTTCTTCTCAGTGCCGACTCAGAGATCCGGCAGCCCGCCCATGACGATCCCCTAACGCTAGCCTGGGGTTGCGCACATGGCGGGGTTTAAGCGCCTGGGCAGACGGGGAACCATTCGTGTTCTGGCAAAGACCTCTCGTAAACGGGCCCATCTTGCGGGGTAGAATGGACCACTGCAATGACCAAGATGTTAAACAAACGACATCGCTCCTCTCCTGCCCACCTCTTCTCGGGCCTTTTACAATGTGGCGCATGCTGTCGGTTGCCCTAAACTCCGTGCTCCGTGGACCGTCACCGTGGCATACGCACCGGAGGCCGATGCGGACCGCGGGGTTTGGTCCGACAACAATGGAAGGTACCTTGAGCGAGGAGACGGATGTGACACTATACAAACCCAGCTGAACGATCCGAATGCCTCCTCATGATGCTGCAACACACCTCTGGTCTTTGTCACCAAGGTTATATCCCCTTATCCCACTAGTTTGGTTCAAGACATTGGGTTCAGAATCGCGTGCTGGAAAGAAACCAAGTCTGCTCAAAATAAAGACCGAGATCCGGTGATGCATCTAGGTCGTGCTGCCGGGCCCTGCCGGTGGGAAACCTGTGTCATTTAGCTGTGTGCCATCGTCTTGGCATGTGTTGTACGCTACCCCGCCAGACCAGTTTCTCCCCATATTCTCCGACCCCACATCCCGAAGTAACGTCTGCGAGGTGCCCTCGCATCGGCAACATGGGCGGCCTTCATCATCGGTTATGATGTGGGGGTATGATGCTTGCAGACTGCCCTCATTTTCCTGGACCAAATCGTCCAGTGGTGGGTTGGAAATTGTGACCTACACCGCCAAAAGGCCCGCTAGGAATCTCGACCAACTGCATGTCTCGAGGTCACGGTGATTTGAGTAGCTCGCTCGAAGTGCTCCATGCCGTGTAGGTATTGTGTCAAGTGGCTAGCATATTACCATAGCCTCCCTACTGCAGAGCTGGAGAAGGGCGGGTGATGGTACCGTAAGAAAAGACCACTCGGCGAGATATCTCAAGTCGTGATATGATGTACCAGCTTGCAATTCTGATGTGAACCCGAAGTCTGTCGTATTCGATTGAAATGGTGCAAAGTATGTACAAGAAACGCGAAAACCAGATCTAAGTAAGTCATTACCATCGACGATGCGCCAAGCTTGCCTATTTCTCCTCCGGAGATAAATACGCCCCAAGCCTGTCGGACGTTAGCTCGATCGCCATATAATGACTATTCAGCAGGAAGCTGCGTAGTAGATGAAAGGCCTCCAAAAGGGGTACTCACCCAATGATTGCATAACAGGCACACATCAGTGCGCCCTTCAGTCCGTTCGTTTTCGCTGCCGTTCCCCCATCGTTTAAAATCAACATGTTCACAATCAATACGGATCCTAGCAGCGTCGCCATTTCAAAAATGTTAAAGGTGAGAGCCAGCTGGCGGTTGAGAATCCAGCCAGCGATGATGGTGAGTGGTGTCACGCACAGCGCGATCTGAATCGAGGAGCCGACGGCCACGGCCACCGCGAGGTCGAGCTTATCTTTCGCGGCGACCGTGACGACGGTGATATATTCGGCAATGTTGCCAACGATGGGCAGAATAATCAAGCCAATGACTGGCTCGGAAAGATGACCCTGATGGGTAACGGCGTCTATTGTGGAGACGAGGAATTCGGCGCACATGGACATTAGAGCCGATGTGACGACAAGAACCAGAATGGACATGAAACGGCTACCGGTCGGGCGATGCTGGGCATGAGCCTGATTGCTGCTCGTGCGCATGAGCTCGAGAGTTGTCGGGCCAGAGCGCATGAAACCCGGGGCACTTGGGGCGCGGGATGTGGCCGCGGACCCGGAATTGGACCTGGAGTGGCGGCGTGAGCGGATGGAAGGCTCAGTAGATAGTGGGCGGCCGGGAAACGAGTTGACGGGATCAATGTCGTTGTCGTTGGAACTTGAAGCGACCTTGTCAAGATTGGCCATTTCGATCTGGTCGGCGGGCTTCCCTGGAAAGTGCGGCACGGTAGGCGTGCCATCGTCGGCAAAACGAATGGTACGAGGGGGCAGGGTGTAAGCCCGGCTGCGCGAAGGAATTTGAGGCTCAGGAACAGCCCAGTGGCTTCGCTGGGTGCCAGTGCCTTCAGCTGGGATGGCGTCATGGGCTACTGGACGGGTACGCAGCTCATGAACGAAGTACAATACGTAAATGACGAGCACCATGATGGCAGAGATGCGGCTCATCTTGAGAATAGCCTTATCCGCTCCTTTGGAGCCTTCGAAGGTGTAGTCAAAGGCGGTCTGTCAAGGTGAGCACATGATCAATCACGGGATGGGGGCACTGAACCTACAGGCATCAGAAATACGAAGACAGAGACGAGCAGAAGGCAGCTGAGGAGTTGCGTGTTGGAGGTTGAGGGTGCAGAGGCATCGTGCCTCGAGAAAGTGCTGGCGAACAGAGCAGAGCCGAGAATCAGGAGCAGGTTGACGATGATGGAGCCAAGGATGGAGGCTTGCACGATCCGGATGTGGTTGTTGACCAGTGCGACGCTGCGCTGTTAGCAATCAAGTTCACCACGCCAGACACGGTTACATACACGCTGTGAGGATGTCAGCACTGGGATTGAGGACCAGGAGGAACTGGAAAACGTACAAGATAATGAGCTCGACGAGGTTGCCGAGGCTAATGTTGAGTAGGGCACCGACAGTGTCGCCAGCATCGTTGGCGATTCTCTCCGTCGCGTCTGTCAACAGGGCCGACAAGGGCACAATGGCAATGACGTTGGTGATGAAGGTCAAGATGGGGCTCATGCCAGATAAGTAACTCGCAAGGCCGACAGGCACGAAGACGAGCAGGCTGTTGAGCCACGAGGCGAGTATCATCTCACGGAGACTGCTCACGGATGACATGGCAGGCCGACCGAGGTCGGGGCCAATGCCAGACTCGTAGGCGTAGCCCGAGTCGTTCTGGGGAATGGGTGCCCATGGTCCTCCTCTGTCGTTACCCGAGAGAAAGGGTCGAAGGGCTTGCTGAACGCCGTCTGATGTCAGGTTAGGACGCGTGTGAGAGTGAGACAGCAGTAGTGAAAACCTGCCTCTGACGTTGGTCCTCAGCAAGCCGGTGAAGCCATGGCTGTCCTGGGAACGGGCATCTTCAGACACCGCGCGCTCGAGGGGCAGAAGATCAATAGAACTCGAGGAGTCGCGCACGTCGTCGTCGTCCTCGCTCGAGTGGCTGTAGTCGTTGTTCACACCATTGAATGGAGTAACCCTCGGGTGGAGCGCAGCGGCAATAGCCATCAACTGGGCGGGCGGAAGCACAGGATGCGAACAGCTAGAATTAAAACAAGTATCGGATGCCGAACACGGATAAGTCGATGGAGCAAAACAAGACTAGTAATAAAAGAAGGGCGCTATACGATGCCGTCGTCTTCGTCGTCGCTGTCGTCGAAACAAGGTTCTCGTCAAAATACGGCGATGGAACAGTGTCGTACCGTGAAAAGACTGCAAAGAAAAAGGCCCCTTTTTCTTTAAGGATGAAGAATCCAGGATGGGGGAAGGAGCCAGAACGAAGGGATCGTGAAATGAGGACCAGGTGCTCTTGCTGATGGAGCAGGGGTCCATGGAGCTAAGCTTCTTACAGTCCGGCGCTAGACTATTCAGAGGCTGGTGCTTTCTTTGGCATGAAGCCCATTCGCTGGCCCATCAATTGGGCAATGACAACCCATGCAACGGCATGAGGAGGTCCAGGGAGCCCTTGCCTGTTGGGGGATGAGGAATTAAAGTCAGGCATGCCGGAGAGCTCCTGACACGCTGTAGTTTCGCCTCAACATGGGCTGCCTCAATGCCCTGTAGCAGCTCTTCCCCTGTTTCCAGGCTCTTTCCTGGCTTCCGGAGCGCGCACATGCCACCCTGGCGCCGGCTCTCTCGGGATCCCTCGCGTGCTCACGCTGCATGTACATGTAAGGTTCCTTAGTATGGAAAGCACCCACAGTAAGGTAGGCACGTTACTCTTTCTACCTATCTGCTTGGCTACGTAAGGTCAGGTAGGCATCCAAATCGTCAATGAGACGAAACCCACGTGATCAAGTCCCGGATTACCCAAAAGGTCATGCCAGTGGGTGGGCGAGCATGAGTGTCAATCATATTGGCCGGATGCCGATCGCGTCTGGCTGGTCCATCTGGTTCGTCAACCCCTGACCGATCCAAATCAAGCTCTGACCTTTGTCTTGCCTGGCGCCCGGCTGTCTGGAGAGGAGCGAGCTTCAGGCTGCTTCGCTAATACTGGTCACGAGCTCCGGTGCCTGTAAGGCTGACGCACCGGCCACTGGTATTTTATTTGTTCAACCTTAGACTCAACTTGTCCAGAAGCCCAGGCGCTGGATGTGAATGTGGAGGATCTTGCCCCAGGCTTTATCAGTATCTGCCCCTTGCTGGAAAACATAGGTCTGAACCAAAGCTTGCATGACTGCCAAGACCGTAGTTTCCACATCAGCCCACCGACAAAATACTGCTAGTACCTCGACGATCTGACCGAACCCGAGATTACGGCCGTGACTCGAGACGCGACGGACAAACGTCTCCCTGTCCATGCGAGGTTTGATATGATCTGCCAAGACATGAGCCAGTGCCGGCTCGTCCCGCTCCATCCTGCCAGCTGCCGGCAGCTGAGACCAGCTGGGTAATCAGCATTCCCAGCATCCGAACAATGAACCAGCAGCAAGAGCTTTGGCCTTGCAGCTAAGACACCAAGACGTGTGCTCTAAATATACATCATCATCCCTTCTTGCGCCCACGACAACGAGGATTCGGTAGCACCGTGCAAAGACCGGCCTCGGATACAATTTCCCATAATGCTCGTCCGCCGCAGCCTCCCCTCCTTCCGGCCGGCGCTGCGACCCAAACCTCGACATGCCGTACGCCACCAAAGCTCGAACCAAACCCCCTCAGCCAAACCAGCCAAGCCCGCGAGCGCGCCAGCGACCACCGCCGCTCCCTCTCCCGCCCAACAGTCCCGTCTCGACCGCATACTCGGCCGCCTCCCACAGCGCCTCCAAGTCCACACGGCGGCCCTCCGCGCGGCCCCCGTCTCCCACACCATCGCCTTCCTCGCGCTGCACGAAATCACGGCCATCGTCCCCCTGCTTGCCTTCTTTGCGCTCTTCCACTACACGGCCCTCGCACCGCTCGAGTACCTGACCTCCCGCTCCGCAGCCTGGGTGCGCGACGGCGCCGAGAAGGCGGAGCGCTATTTCAGTCGCAAGGGCTGGTTCGGGTTCGAGGCCGCAGATCGCGGGGCCGTAGCGGGGGCGTTCGCTCGGTCTGGCGACGCGGAGGCGGGGGACACGAGGGGACAGCTGGAACAATGGCAGAGGGATGACGAGAGGTACAAGGTTGTCGTAGAGGTTGCGCTCGCGTGGGCTGTGACCAAGGCGCTGCTGCCCGCGAGAATTATCTTGAGTGTCTGGGGAACACCGGGAACGGTAGCTCTGTGGAAGAAAATCTTCCGTAGAGGGCGGTAATTGACTGTTTCTCCCGAAAGAAGAAAAAATAAAAAAATAAGAGAACAAAAATAAACCGGCTGAACCAGGCACTTGGAGACAACGGAGGCGATTGATCATGAGTTTCTGTTCAGCTATCGTATTGGCTTTTTTACATGCAAATCCACCTGTCTACGAGACGGGGTCTCTCTACCATTCATCCTCAGCCTGCATGTAGCAAGCCGTGGTCAACGGACCACGACAGATTACTAGAGCACGCTACTCGCCTTTTCCGAATCACCGAGCAAAAATGGAAAGACACTTAAGCCTTCTCGTAGATCCAGTCGAAGGCAGCGGACTTCCACTGAACGAGGTCACCCTCCTTGAACCACAGGGCGATCTCCTTCTTGGCGTTCTCGACAGAGTCAGAGCCGTGGCAGACGTTGCGGCCGACGTCGATGGCGTAGTCGCCACGGATGGTGCCGGGGGAAGAGGCGAGGGGGTTGGTGGCGCCGAGGATGGCTGGAAGATAAAAACGTTAGCTGGCTGACTATGTACAAAAAAAGAACGAGGCAACGTACAGCGGCCGGTCTTGACGGCGTCACGGCCCTCCCAGACCATGGCGCAGATGGGGCCGCTGAGCATGTAGCTGATCAGGCCGGGGAAGAAGGCCTTGTCCTTGAGGTCGGCGTCTAAAGGGCGGTCAGTGAGCGGGGTCATCGGAGGGTTGTGGCGGTGTGTGGGGAGGTAACGTACAGTGCTGCTCAAGGTGCTCCTTGGAAGGGGAGACGAGCTTGATGGCAGCGAGCTTGAAGCTGGCCGAGTGTCAGTGCTTGCGATTGAAGCTGGAGTGATGTGTCTGGACTAACCCGCGGCTCTCGAAGCGAGAGATGATGGGGCCAACGAGGCCACGCTGGGGACTGTGTCAGTGGCGGTTTCGAGGGGCTACTGGCGATGGTGTCTCAGAAGAGGGCGTACCTGGACGCCGTCAGGCTTGATGGCGATGAAGCTGTATCTCAGTCAGCCTGGGTTGCGTGTAAATAATGCCATGCCACGTTGGCGAACCCCCTCGGAGGAGCCCTCGGAACATGGCGGGGGTCGTGTTGTAGAGGTCACTCACGTCTGCTCGGCGGAAGACATGATGTCGGTTTGATGAACGGGAAGGTTCTTGAGTTGAGGAATAAAAGTATTGGCAGTTGCCTGGAGGTGGTCGTCGGGGTGGAAGAAGTCGTAAGTGTGGACGTAGAGGAGGAGAGAGAAAGAGAGAGCGAAGAGGAGGTAGCCGAACCAATTTTTTGGTGCTTGCTGGGCGGCATGTGGCGGGGTCGATTGGGCCTCCTTGACCAGCTTCTGGGGATGGAGGGGCTGCGCCATGTTGATTGGCGGACGACTGTACAGTAAAACTAGCAGTTATGTGAAGGACCAGCACTGTGAAGCAGGAAAAGCCAAAGCAGAATCAGTATCGCGTCTCTTGGTGGATGCGCGGAATCGAATGCGTTGGACAAGAAGGAAACAGTTGCTGTGAATAGATTGATCCCAGACAGATGTTTAGAAGGTCGCAAGATGGACGCCTCGACCCAACGCCTATTCAAATTGACATTGCCATGAGATGCATAAAGCTGGCATTTGGAGCTCCTTCCCACACAGCTTGGCCAGGGCGTCCAACTATATTCTATTCCTGTTTCCCGAATACACCTGCTCTCATGAATATGTTTCCACCCTAGGTACCTTACCATCCACAGATTGCCACTTCTGCATCACCATAGGTTCAAAACAGAGGAGTTGAATCAATTGAATCGTGAGAAGCGGGATGAGAACAGCCATCCTGAAGCCTTTATAAAACTCGGCCTCCGAGTTCGCACGACTGGCGTGTTCTCAGACCTTGATGCCGTTCTATGCATGTATCAGAGTCAACACACAACGCGGGGCTATCACCCCTGTGTCTCGGTTTGACACTAACCCTGAATGGGCCTCCCGAAGGACAGCTCAAGTCGCTGTTGCCACCATATGGTCAACATCGTGGACATTTGGCAACATCATCATCAGCGCCTTCAGCATCTTCAACAACAAGACTACAGCATCGTGCAGTTTCAATCTGACATGTCGATGCTTGCTTTTTCTCACTGAAAATTCACTCTCTACTTTTTGTTTGTGTATTTCTGTAGCATCGTCCGTCATTCTCGCCATGGGGCCTCCCAGCCCTTTATCCTTTAGGCGGACAGCCATCCTCGGTCTGCTGTCCTTCGGCACCCTGATCCCCTCAGCATGTATGTCGCAACCTTAATCCATACAGCTCGAACTGAATTATCAAGCTGACTGATCAAGTCGCCGTCAAGGAACACGATTTCAAGAAATGCCACCAGTCTGGCTTCTGCAAGCGCAACCGTGATTATGCCGACAGCATCAACTCCAAGGGCTCAGCGTGGACTGCCCCATACGATATCCTCCCCGATTCATCCTCCTTTCAGGATGGTCAGCTTGAAGCTGTCATTCTCAAGACGATCAACGACGACAAGGATACGGTTCGACTGCCAATAACCATCTCCTTCCTCGAGTCTGGCACTGCCCGTGTTACTGTCGATGAGGAGAGGCGCCAGAAGCAAGACATCGAATTGAGGCACGACAGTAAGATTCGCAAGGAGCGATTCAACGGTGTGGAGAAGTTGGCCATCACCGGCGGGCTCAACTTGGACACGGAGGCCAAGGTTACACATCAGGATAAGTCGCATATTACGGTCGCATACGGCCCTTCCCACAAATTTGAGGCAGTGGTCAAGCTCTCGCCCTTCGGCATTGAATTCAAGCGCGACGGCGCCACCCAGATCAAGTTTAACGATGGCGGACTACTGAACGTGGAGCACTGGAGGCCCAAGATTGAGAAGCCCGTTGAGAAAGTCGAGCCAGCCGCCGAGGGCGAGCAGAAGCCCATCGAGGGCGAAGAGGCGGCAACACCCGAAACGGTGGTTGGTAATGATGAGAGCACCTGGTGGGACGAGACCTTTGGTGGAAACACAGACAGCAAGCCCAGGGGCCCAGAGAGTGTCGCGCTCGATATCTCTTTCGTGGGCTATGAGCATGTCTTTGGCATTCCCGAGCACGCTGGTCCCATGGCTCTCAAGCAGACACAGGGTGGAGACGGCCAGTACACCGAACCTTATCGTCTGTACAACGCAGACGTGTTTGAGTACGTCCTCGACAGCCCCATGACTCTCTATGGCGCCATTCCATTCATGCAGGCCCACCGCAAAGACTCGACCGTGGGTGTCTTCTGGCTCAATGCTGCCGAGACATGGATTGATATCACCAAGGATAAAAGCAGCGGTATCGTCAGCTCCAAGACAACTATGAACACCCACTGGATGTCGGAGAGTGGTCTGTTGGACGTCTTCGTCTTCCTTGGACCTACTCCCCAGGACGTGACCAGAAACTACGTTCAACTCACCGGCACGACTGCCATGCCCCAGGAGTTTGCCATTGGCTACCATCAATGCCGCTGGAACTACGTTTCTGATGACGATGTGAAAGATGTCGACCGCAAGATGGACCGATACAAGATCCCCTACGATGTCATTTGGCTCGACATTGAATTTGCTGACGACAAGATGTATTTCAACTGGGACAAGGACATGTTCAAGGACCCCATCAGCATGGGCGCGCATCTCGAGGAGCATGGTCGGCAGCTTGTCCTCATCAATGATCCTCACATCAAAAACAAGGATGGCTACAGCGTCGTCTCTGAGCTCAAGAGCAAGGACCTTGCTGTTCGTAACAAGGACGGCAACATCTTTGACGGCTGGTGCTGGCCAGGCTCCTCTCACTGGATTGACTGCTTTAACCCCAAGGCCATCGAGTGGTGGAGTGGTCTTTTCAACTACGACGCGTTCAAGGGCACCCTCAAGAACACCTTCATCTGGAATGACATGAACGAGCCCTCAGTCTTCAACGGCCCAGAGGTCACTATGCCCAAGGACAATATCCACTTCGACGATTGGGAGCATCGCGACGTGCACAACCTGAATGGCATGACCTTCCATAATGCCACCTACCAGGCACTCCTTACGCGCGAGAAGGGCGAGCTACGTCGACCTTTCGTTCTCACTCGATCTTTCTACGCTGGCTCGCAGCGTTACGGTGCCATGTGGACTGGTGATAACCAGGCGTCCTGGGAGCATCTCGGCATCTCACTCCCCATGATCCTCAACCAGGGCATTTCTGGCTTCCCATTCTCTGGCTCTGATGTTGGTGGCTTCTTTGGCGATCCTGAGGCGGACCTTATCGTTCGCTGGTACCAGGCTGGCGCCTTCTACCCCTTCTTCCGCGGACACGCCCATATCGATGCGCGCCGCCGCGAACCCTACCTGCTGGACGAGCCGTATCGAGGTATTGTCACTGCGGCGCTGCGTCTCCGTTACACCCTCCTGCCTTCCTGGTACACTGCCTTCCATGAAGCTCATCGCAACGGCAGCCCAATCGTGCGTCCCCTGTACTGGACTCATCCCTCTGATGAGGGCGGTTTCACTATTGACGACCAGTTGTTTGTTGGTTCGACTGGTCTTCTTCACAAGCCTGTTGTGGAACAGAACCAGGAGTCGGTTGAGATCTACATTCCCGATGATGAGCTCTACTACGACTACTTCACTTATGATGTCAAGTCGACGTCAAAAGGCAAGCGCGTCTCAGTGTCCACGCCTCTCGAGAAGGTGGCGCTCCTCATGCGCGGCGGTCACGTCTTTGCCCGTCGTGATATTCCCCGTCGCTCGAGCCATCTCATGAGGTTCGACGACTACACCCTGGTCGTCGCTGTGAACAAGGCCGGCAATGCTGAGGGCGAACTCTACGTCGATGACGGCGACTCTTTTGATTACGAGGGCGGGCAATACATCCACCGCAAGTTCAACCTCGACAAGGCCGCCAAGACGCTTTCGTCAGTGGACGCCGAGGGCCGTGATACCAAGGCCATCAAGGCAGGCAAGTGGCTCGAGGCTATGGAGGCTGTCCACGTCGACAAGATTATCGTTGTCGGAGCCCCGGCTGCGTGGGACAAGGCGGCGGTAAAGGTTGAGTCGGAGGGCAAGACATGGACGGCGCAGGTCCGCTACCACAAGGCGGAGAAGGGTCGGGCGGCATTCGCGGTGGTTGGCCGCGTCGGTGCTCGCATCGGCGCTGATTGGACTATCAAACTAGCATAGAGTGGGTTATCCAAAGGCTCCCGAGCCAAAGTTGATCAAGCATTATCTTGGTTTGCGTACGCACGATTTATGTAAGCTGTTCTGCATTCGCAGACTCACGAGATTTGACTGGTTTGTCAAAATGATTCATGGCCGATTCTCAAGCTCACATCGTGAACCTCATCTTGGTAGAGACATTGGTCGACGTCTGCGAGTGTACTGCCACCGCATCCTCGGAACCATCGAAGAGTAACGGGGCATCACCCCCGAGGAAGCTGCCATGCCGCCAGACCCGAAGCACATTGGAAGCAGATCCACCTCATCATGCCGATCGCTTGCGCGGGGGATAATGGTCTTTAGGCTTCTGGGGCCGACGCCATGAGGCAGCGAGTGTCAGTGTGGTATATCGTTTGCAAGGATACCAAGACAAGCCAAAGCAGTTGATTGCTTGTATTCCGACTGTGCTCGATCATGATCTCGGCTGATCGACGATTCGCTACCCTTTCTCAGTGGATCAGCTGGAGACTGTTGATCGAGGGTTCTGGACTGTCATGTGTGTTTTCGGATGAGTGAGTGCGTGGAGTGGAGGCGACGATCTTGGGAGCGGCGCGGGAAACGGTGGCAGAACGGTGGATGGTATTGAGAAAGGTGCTTGATGCTGGTGTGCAGAGGCCGAGGAGCATGATGGGTGCGGCTTCGCGCCCACTGTTGGCGACTAGACAGCGGTGGGCTGCATCCTACAGGGGCTTCACGCACGCCCTCCGGAGCGGGCGCCGGACACCATGGACTCTGCGCACCGAACGGCGTAGTAGAGAGTCCATGGACTGCACTAACCTGAAGATAAAGGTGTTAAAATATTGGTCGTCTTGTGCACTGTCAACGGCGGTTGAGGTCTAGGTGTCAAACGAGACTACAGCTTGTTGAATTCGCTTTGGAGCTGCTTACCAAGAGGGCAGGAAACTCAAGCTACACCCACAGAAAAACACACCTGATTTCCAGAGGCTCATTCAGAAGCTTGGCCGATATGACGGGCCATCGGCCTGCTGCAAGGAAGCGGTATCGCAACCAGTCCACTCGAAGTTTTCTACAGCTGCTGGCGTGCAATGATTCTCTTTCCAGGCTTCATGTTCGAGCGAGTGCAAAGATGTCCAGTCGGACGCACATCTGAGCCGATGCCACCCAGGCATCCAGCACTCGAAACTGCTAATCGAAAATTACTAGCAATCTATCAAACTCTTACGAGTGGGATCTTGAATCCACCAGTCGTTCATCACAGCCTCCCTGGACCAGAGCATCGTAAACCCCCTCCCCCCAAAACACGCATTTCTTGGCTGTCTGGGAGTATTTTCTCAACAGAACCAACCGTCTGCACGGCCAGCCAGCATTGGAAGCCAGCGAGCCATAGCGCGACGAAAACAGCGGTTGGCAGGCGGGCCGAAAGAATTAGATAGCGGCCGGGCGCCACACGGGCGGCAAACCATGACGGCAGCAGGGTGTCCGTGGCGGGCGGCAAAGGCGCCCCAAAGGGCTCAGTGCACCAAGTTTTCCCTGATCAGATGGCGTTAGGGGGCGTTGATCAACGGTGCATGTTCCTGCATTGCTGGCGGGTGGCGTCAACGTGCCCTGTAATCAAGCAAGCTGCCCGAGTGGAAGTAAATTGGTCGTTCGAACCAGGCAGAGACGCCTTGATCGGGAGCAAGAACCATTGAGGATCCAGGCGGGCGCAGTCTCGAACAATCTCAACGCCTTATCGAGTCAACGCAAGGCTAGGATGTGAGAGGCCTGATTCGTACAGCAGCGCCTCATGTCGGAATGAAATGAAACAGCCACATGCAGGCAATAGGAGAAGGAGGGCAAGGCACAATTCCTGAAGCGCATGGCGGTGCCCATCTACCGTCCGATAAGGTGCCGAATTTGGCGCACCTTATCTAACGCTAGGTGATCTCACGGCGCCGGCCCTGGACGCGGGACTCGCGGGTCTTGGCAGGCGAACGGCGCACTGTTGGTGCCGGCGGTACGGGTGCGGTGGCAACCCAGTGGGAGAGGGCCCTTCCCGGACGGTGCTCGCTGCTGGGTCCCTTCACCGGCTTGGCGGCTGTGGGCCTGCCTCCTTGCCAAGGGGGCGTCAGACAAGGGGGGGAGGGTCTTAGAGGCCTTGTGGATGCTGAACGGTCGGTGCTTTCGGGGAGTTGGGGGGCCCGCCGTGACGTCAGGCCTGGTGTTTTGCTCGCTTCAAGTTCTGCCATCATTTTCCTCATGCTCGACGTGTTCGTCCCGCGATTGCCAGGCATGTGAGTGAGCGAATTCCCCCCTTGGCAGTACAGGTGATACGAGCTTGTGGCTTTCTTGCCCTGCAGAAGCGACATGTTGTAGTGGTGTGCTGTTGGGGGATCGTCGTTATCCCGAGGGCCTATGAATGGATGGCATGGCCGCAAAGGCGATTCGGAGTGGTGATCGCGGTGTCAGGAACGCGCCGGCAGGCAGCACCAGGAAGAGGCTGAACGGGCGACCACGTTCATCAAATCTTTGTGTCCAAAGGTACCGAAATGCCGAAGCTTCACGACAAATCGTAGCGAAAGGATCGGTTCACCTGCCACTAGGCAGTTCGATCGTCAGAAGCCGCTGGCTTGGACTAGTCTTGCCATCTAAAGTCGTTCAGTGACGTCTTTCGGAGTCATGTCGACATTGGGAAGATGAAAGTCTCCAAACAGGAGGAAACAGACCTCTGAACAGACCCGCTGGGCCATCATCGTCCGCCTCGCACCGTCGCTAGAAACGGTGGGATTCATCAGAGGTTTGATTCGACGTGCCAAGTGTGCTGCGCAGAGAAAGACTGGAGCGTGGTGGGTCCCTGATCGAAATGACGAAGGAGGTTGTGACAAGACTCCAAGGCTCCTGGTCCCTCTCGACCCACCTTGAGCATCTTGGTGGTGGACGGTCGACAGCAGACAGACAGATTTGCAAGATGCAAACGCCTGGGAGGGGTGGTTCTTTTCCTGGGTTTGGTAAACTCCGAGGAATTCCAAGCCTCGAGCGCTCAATGCAATCGAATCGAGCATGGTCTGGAGCTTCCCTCGATGGACCCTGGGTTCCACCTCGGGGGCACCTTCTCTCTCACTTCCACCTCCTTCCTCTCCACCTCCACGCATCCATTGATGGTCGTTGTTTCCTTTCCCTGTCCCCTTTTTCTCGATTCCTCCTTCCGAACTTATTTTCCTTGCTCCTTCCTGCACTTTCTCATCATACTCTTGTCATTCTATTTCCTCCTCGTCTGTCGTTGACGCGTGAAAGCCCATAATCACCACCCATCTATCCGCTGCATCTTGCCGAACCGCCTCGCTGGGTTCAGGCCTTTTCTTTCCTTTTCTTATCTATTTCTAGCTATTTACCTATATGCCTAGGTAGCTATCCCTGTTCGATCGTTGGGCTTGACGATTTCCACATACTTCAAGCGTAGGCAGGGCCTTTGCGGCGCCCCGACTCTGGCCTCGGCAATATCTGCAGCTTCTTGAATTCTCCATTGATCATAGCTACGCATTGCTCCAAGGCCATCAACCTCATCAACACCATCCTTGGCAGAACGAATTCATCCAAAAACTGCCATTGATTCGGTCTCCAAGGCCACCTCAGCCACCATGTCGTCGCCAGTCAACCAAAAACACGACGAGTATGATGAGAAACACTCCAACCACACAGCCGAAACGCTACACGACCCGGCCAATCTCCAGTCTCACACGGATTCGCAAAAGCCTAGTCATGAAAGACCTCTAATGCCTCTCCATGTGGACTCGCATAATCACCTCGCACCTCCGACGGAAGGACCCTTTTCTCCCAATGGCGGCGGCACTCGCGAGCAAGCAAGCCGTCTCACGGACGACCTTGAGCTTCTTCGTGTCGAGCGCCTCATCTCCAATCAGGAGAACGAGCTGAATCGGTCCCGCTCTCGTAGCCGCCAACACCAGCCCGAGCCTGAGGACCTTTTCGCCGGGAAACCAGTAGAGGACGAGAAGGTCGAGCGCCCGCCTCCCGAAAAGAAGGCTGGCATCTTCGGCTACTGGCTCCTTCGCTGGCTGAAGAAGCTCCCTCGTTGCTTCCGCTACTTTTTCTATCTGCTACCAGGCGCCACGCTTCTGTTGATTCCTATCCTGATCGGATATTTCAGCCCTGGCGACCGGCCTGTTGGCGGTGATGGAGGTGTCGAGTTGATGTGGTTTGGCATCTGGTTAATGATCGTATGGTGCACCATCTGGGGCGCTCGCATGATCACGTCTCTGATGCCACCCACATTTGCTGGCATTGCTACTCTCATGGGCTCCAACAACGGCAAAAAGTGGAAGGACATTGGTCGTGTCCTTGAACTTCACACAGCGCTCTTCATCTGGATGCTCTCGGTTTTGGTCTCCTTCAAGCCCATCAACAACAGCCACCGAGTCCGCCGCACTGGTGACGGCGATGGCTCAGTCGAATGGATCAACACAGTGTACAAGGTCATCATCGCCATATTCGTCCTATCTGCCCTCAATTTCATCGAAAAAATCATCATTCAGTGGATCGCCACATCCTTCCACCAGCGCACCTACGCCAAGCGTATCGAGGACAACAGAAGCGATATTCATCATCTCATTCACCTGTATGACTACGCTAAAGAGAAGATCGCTCACGACGATGCCATTTGGGAAACAACCGGTGAGGCCAGGGAAGGATCTGGAAGCCGCACGCCCATGGCCCAGCTGCACAACAATGTCCGCCAGGTGTTCAATAAGGCTGGTGGCCTCGCGAACCGTGTCGGTAACGATTTCATCGGCCGTAAAACCGATCTCAACCATTCGAAGAAGATTGTCTTCGAGCTGTTGCGTACGTCGTCGTCGGCCCACTCTCTCGCTCGGTTGATCTACCGGTCTTTGCTGAATCCAAACAACGAGACCATCTACGAGGATGACATGCGGATTGCCTTCAAGACGGAGGAGGAAGCTGAACACGCCTTTGGCATTTTCGACAAGGACTTCAACGGCGACATCAGCATGGAAGAGATGGAGTGCGTTTGCAATGAGATTCATCTTGAGCGCAAGGCCATCGCTGCCTCCCTCAAGGATTTGGACTCCGTCATTCAGAAGCTTGACAAGGTCTTTTTCTTCATCATTTTCGTCATCTCCATCATTGTGTTTATCACAATCCTTTCCGGCTCGGCTGCCGCCGGCCTCGCGTCCGCTGGCTCAGCTGTCCTGGGTCTTGCGTGGATGCTTCAGGCTACTGCCCAGGAATTTCTGCAGTCGATCATCTTCGTCTTTGTCAAGCACCCATTCGACGTCGGTGACCGCATCACCGTATACGGTAACACCGGCACGACCCTGCAGGGGGATGACTACTACGTCACCGAAATCTCCCTCCTTTACACCGAGTTCAAGAAGATGGAGGGGCACATTGTTCAGGCGCCCAACTCCGTTCTCAACACCCTGTTCATCCTCAACCAGCGCCGCTCCGCCGGCCTCGCAGACCCCGTCGAGCTGCGTCTCGGATTCGGCACCGACCCCCAGCTCATCGAGGATCTCAAGGCTCGCATGACTGACTACTGCCTGGCCAACAAGCGCGATTACAAGCCTAGTGTGCTGACCGAAGTTCGCACCCTGAACGATGTGCAGTCTTTTACCATGAACTTCATCTTCTTCCACAAGTCTAATTTTCAAAACGAACTCTTGCGTCTGCAACGCCACAACAAATTCGTTGCTCAGCTCATGGTTGAGATTCGTGATCTTGGCCTGCAGGGACCTTGGCAGGTGCAGCCCGGTGGCTCCCGCGAGTTCCCCCTGCACTGGGCTGGTGCCGCGCCACCTCCATCGTACGAAAACTCCGCGGCCAAATCCAGCGGCACGTCTGGCCCCGGGGCAGTATCCGGCTCTGCTGCGGCGCCGCCACTGCAGCACTCGACCTCCGTCGCGTCTGGCGCATCCACCGCCTCTCGTCAAACCTATACGCCTGCTATTCGCTCTGTTCCACTGATTGAAGAATCTTTCGTTGATTTCCAGGACGTCTTCGAGAGCCGAAAGGCCGAGCACACCCCCAAGATTTCGCGGCTGCAGAGCATTCGTGAGAACAGCAGCAGCAACTTCCGTGACGGCCGAAGCAGCCAGGATCGTGATGGTAGCCCCGCACGTACCAGCGGCGCCGCGCGACCCAGCCAAGACTCCACGTCGCGACGTCACATTTTCACTGGCCGCGCTCGCAGCAGGAGCACGGCCTCGAAGCCGCCGAACGAAATGGTGTAAAAGATTCGATTTTATCTGTGTTGTGGAGGATATACCACGAGTAGAAGAGGGGGTTTCCAATATTTTGTCTGGATGTAAGAGTACGTCAGATACAGGCCGCCGCCTAGGCTGGTGGCTGTGCTGGACGTTAGATAGTGCCGAAATGTAGGCTTCTCATCATGATCATGACTTTGGCTTACTGTGAAAAGGAATTTTGTGCAATGGTGGGATAGACGTGGCCCTTTTTATATGTCCAGTTGATGGGCCCAGTGAGCGTCTCATCGGTTCATCCAGATGACCGACAGGGGTAAAAGGATGACCGTGAAGTTACCTGTTCGAAAGGATAGCTCTTGTGCTCTGGAATTTTGATCCGTACTGACACGGCACCCTACGCCCAAGTCTCATGTACTATGTGCAGTGATTTGGGAACGCCCCGTCAACATGGCAGATGAATGTGGTGCTACACCGTGTTCCTAGTCTTAAATAAGTCATCGTCGGCACCCTTTGAGCGGTCGCTGGAAGCCAAGGAACCTGACGACCTCGTCCTATAGCCCTTGGTACGTGGCTGACTACAGCCCTGTATGCAGTTGGTGTTTGAAAAGCTACAACTTGAAATAAGGTCATAACCTGTGAAACGGCTTTCAATGAATCCAGTGGGTGTACGCACTTGAGGGTTCTTACACCTCACCGCCTATCAGGCTAGATAGCTTTACGCAGGTTTCGGAGGCATGATGGAATTGCGCGGAAGAGCCTTCGATCCTTCAAGATCTCTCTTGGCCCAATGGCTGCAGCATTCTTGTCGCGGCTGCAATTCGGAACCGTGCATCGCCTCAACCGGCGGCGGCCAGCGCCCGCAGTATTGGGACCGATGCACATGAGATTGATCAGACACTCCGCGCAGATGTGCGCATGCTGTGATCAAGCATGGCCCTGATGGCAGACGTCTGAAGTAGTCACCGCCTTGTTGGCAAGTCTTTGTCTCTTGTCGTTGCAATGGACTGAGCTGCTCGGTACGAAAGAGAGTTCGCAGCACAGGGACCGGCGAGCTCGATTTGTCAGCGCAGCAGTTTGTCATCAGCCGCCCACGGGAGGCAGCTGGGTCAGGCCTCCGGGCCGGACTTGGGGGCATTTGTCCTGGCCAGTCCAGCCAAGAATGCGAACCTGGTGTCCGTGGAAAACCAGGACCGCCGGTTGACTTCCTCCGCCTCGCACGCATACATGCCTTTGAAAGAGGGAAGATTGGTCAAGAGATGGTGATGGGAGGTTGGTTCGCATCATCAAGGTTGCCTGAGATCCGAAACCACGCGTTTTTGACGCGAACTTGATGGTGTTTGACTGACCAAGCAAGTGGATCAGCGAGTATTCAGGCAATGGCAGAGTGACACTGCGGGGAACAGCGTGGTGGAGAGGCCTTGCAAGTGGTAGCGCCTCAACCTCATGCAAGCCAGTCCCATCACGACATCGATGATGCGACGCCCGCTTGGGATGGGTCAGGAGGGGTCGGCGAGGGGAGGTTGAGGGTTGATAAATAGCTATCATGTCCCTCGGCGATGCTGATGAAGCCCCAATATAACTTGAACTTGATCGTTGAACCCTTCAGTCTATACTCTCATCACACCTACCTGCTCTCCAAGCCCAAACAACCCGCCTGTCACGATGGCTTCAGCTCCCGAGCTCATCCTCTACACCAACCACGGCTGCCCTTGTAAGTCAACCAATTGTTTTTTTTTCTCCTCACGACAACGATCGCGACACTCACACTCATCAGGGGCGCACCGCGCACACATCGCCCTCGCTGAGCTCGGCCTCCCCTTCAAAGAGGAGATCATCGACCTCAACACCCCGCGCACCGAGGCCTACCTCAAGATCAACCCGCGCGGCCTCGTCCCCGCCCTCTCCTACAACGGCGAGATCATCACCGAATCAGGCATCGTCGCCCAGTTCCTCGCCGACGCCCACCCCTCGCATCTCCTTCCGGCCTCGGACACCAAGGACGGCGCCCTGCGCCGCGCGCGCATCAACTTCTTCGTCGACACGTACTTCTCCAAGGTCAACCCGCTGCTGTTCAAGATCATCGGCGCCAGCTCGGATGAGGAGAAGAACGAGTTGGCTAAGACCAAGGTCGAGACTATCGTCAAGGAGATTGAGCCGCTCCTCAGCGACGCCGCGCCCTTCTTTGGCGGCAGCGACAAGATCACACTGGCGGAGGTGAGTCCCCACACTTCAATACCTCAACCCTCTGGCCCCCGAGATGTCAGGTGTGAGTGGGTGAATGAGTGACGTGAACTGACGTTTCTGTACAGGTCCAAACGGGCTCGTTCATCCTGCGCGTCTATTCGTCTGCTGAATATGGACTGCTGCCCAAGACCATCATCGCGGATCTGGCCGACCAGGCGCCCAACTTTACTAAGTGGGCTGACGCCGTGAGGAACAAGGAGAGTGTCAACGCCATTTACGATGGGGAGTATTGGGTGAAGAGGACCCGGGAGAGGTTCGCAAAGGCCAAGGCTTGAGGGGATTCCGAGGGCTTGGTGGCGTACCACGTGTCGACGTTTGCAGGCGCTTCTTTGTTTCGGGGTCCTTTCATCAGGGCCGAGGGAGGTCAATTGACGTTGAAAGAAATCAACTCACCCTTTCATGAATCTGACTAGAATTCGACGTGTCATGCATGCCTATGGGAGATTCTTTATCATATGGACAAAGAACCCGAATAGGTTCGAAGGCGCCGAGACAATACACCTCCCACCGCCCCCCCCCCCCCCCCCCCGGGGGACCAAGCGACCCCTCATGCCTCCGTACCTTTGCATCGCCGCCAGTCGGCCTCTCCCGCATCCATCGGCGCGGAACGGCAATCGGCATGGACCCCGGATCAACGGCAGCGGCCCGACTTGAGGAAGCGTAGACAGGAGCATAAATGGATCAGGCTGGTTCAGCTGCCATGCCCTGGTGCCGCCATCACTGACTAGCTCAGAGCCTGGGGGAGCGCAAGTGGCGATGCCGATGTGCCGGACGCGGACCCGACCCACGCATGCAACACGTCAGCCTCCCATGCGCGCTGCGCGGCGTGAGGCTCAACACCAACCAACCCAGGCTCGCCACCGGAACAGACTCGGCACCCTATCCGAGAAGAAGGGGTCCCTTTTCAGCTCGATGCTGCTGCTTCTTAGCACCTCTCGACTCGACTCGGCCGCGATGTGGTTGCTGCTGCAGGGCTAGCCTGGGTGCCAACATGCGTCAGTTCCCGGTGCCGTGTGGTTGACGCGTCCCCCCTCTCTGCGCTGTTACGACTTGGACGTGGAGGCGTGATGGGGCGCTCCGTCGGCAGCCCGTGAAAGCTTGTTTCGCGCCAGCGAGGCTTCGGGAGGGTATCCGGGGACCTGTAGGAGGGGCAGCTGTGGGCTGGCTGGCTTCGAGGAATAAGACCTCCATCGAGCCCGCGCATTCTGACTTTGGAAACCGAGTGCGCTCGTCTTCTTCCACTTGCCCCAATTGCTCACGCACTGCTCCCATCGTCTTCGTCATATACACGTTAATTGCCTTGATCAAGTCCTTCCCCACAATGTTCGGATTCGGTTCGTCATCCGCTTTAACCCATGTCCTGGAGCTGTTCTAATGTGCAGACAGACGAGGCCAAAGACAACTACGACAACGCCTACGGCGGCAACCATGAGTCCAGACTCAGCCATGAGGTCGTCGCCGGCGGCGCTGCCTTTGGGGCGATGAAGCTTTTCGAGGACAGGCAGCGCAAAAATGGTATGCATTGTCCCCTCACCACAGGCACAGGCCGTGGCTGACAAGACACAGGAGAGCCCGTCCACCACGCATTCGCCAAGGAGCTGCTCGCGGGCTTCGCTGGTGCCGAGGTTGACAAGCTCGTCGAGACCAAGGGGCTGGACTACATTGATAGGGAAAAGGCCAAGAGGCATGCAGAGAGGCAGGCTGAGAGCCTCTATGACAATCAGTACGGCGACATGGAGCAGTACGACCCGTAAGTTCATGTCCCCGCTGCATCTGTGTGAGATTTGAGTATTTGCGGGAGCTGACGGAGACGTCTAGGCGTGAACGCGAACCGCATCGTCACATTCGGGAGGATAGGGGGTATGGCGGTGGCAGCGGCTACGGCCAAGACCAGGAGCAGGGTTATGGCCAGAACCAGAGCCGTGGGTACGATCAAAACCAAGGGTACGGCCAGAACCAAGGGTACGATGATAGACGTAACGAGGAAAACAGGGGCTATGAGGAGAACCGCAGGTGGTAGGAGTCTGTCCACAAGACTTGGCTCATACGCAGAATGTCGTGAAAGCGAACGCCTGAGAATATCATTGCGCGTGGTATCAGCTATGTTACAGAGATCATGAAGCCTTCTTAAACCAGCCCAGCCTCGATGGCCTTGGCACCCTGCGGAGCTTCGACAGCATTCGAATTCGCTGACGACGTCTGAGGCAACTGCCCTCCGAGAACCCTCTCAAAGACGGCCTCCCTCTCCTTCTGCAACGCCAGTCTTGTGCTCTCGAGAATCCCCTCCTTCTCCCTGAGTTCGTTCTCAAGTGCATTGAGTCGACTCTTAGCATCCGAGCCCAGCTGGTTCATGACAGTAGCACACTTGCGAACAGACTCCCTGCTGGCCTTGATCTTGTCGTGGAACTGCATGTCGGTGAAGATGTTGTCGAAAAAAACATCCGACATGATGTTGCCCTGCGCGATGTCGACGTCCGGCAAGTCGCCGACGAAAGGGCTCATCCTTTGCGCGCGCAGCACCTGCATCCTGGCCTCGGCCACAGCCTGCTCCGCCTTGCGCAGGCTACTCCGCTCCATGGCGTCGGCCATGGAGCCGCCGCCGAACATGTCCATGCGCGAGTGGCTCAGTGCGCTCTCCATCTTCTCGAGCGCGTACTTGAGCTTCTGCATGCCCTGCGACAGCAGCTGAATGACGTGCTGCTCGGCTTCGACCTTGCCGCGGTGCTCATGGTACGCCTGCAGCGCCTGGTTGCCGTCCTGCTCTTTGCGGTCCTCCTCGGGGAATCCTTGCGTCGGGCCCGCAAAGATGCCGCCGTATAACTCATCGAGCGCGCGCTGCGCGTCGCGGTGCCGCGCGACCTGCTGCTCGAGGTCGGTCTTGACCTGTTGCGCCTGGTCTGTTTGCTCCTTGAGCGAGTCGTGCAGGCTCGTCTCGCGCTGCGCCGCCTGCAAGACGTCGAAGTACTCGCGCTCCTCCTTGGCCGCCTTGTCGGCGAATTGATTTGAGCGACCGACGGCCTTGTGCAGGAAGCGGCGCGTCACGCTGTCGCGGTACTTTTCGTGATCCTTGAGCTCGGACTCGCGGCGGCGCTCCAGATCGCGGCAGCGTTTGACCGAGGACTGTAGCTCGGTCGTGAGGTCCTGGAGGAGACGGGTCTGCTGGAGAAGTGAAGGTGGTGCGTGGTCTGTCTCGCGCAGGATCGAGAGGAGCTCGCTGTTCTTTGACGCGGCGGCCTCAATCTGACTTTGTATGGAGGTCATGATGACTTGGATTGCCTGATAGGTATAAGTGGGAAATGTGCGTGAATAGCGTAGGACAATGATCTAGTGAGTAGTGGGTGGTGAATATGAATGTGCAGGATATCTCCAAAGTGACCTCGGCCAGGGGAGGGGCACTCTTCTCCTTTAACTGTCCCTCTACCTCGTCAATTGTGAGGCCATCTGGGTGATACCAATAGCCGTGGTGGTGCTCACGGGGCGAATGCTACGGCCACTGATGCCTGTGATGTCAGCAAACGTCGTTGGTTACCTCTGCGGCACAGTAGATGTGACCCAACGACATGCATTCAAATGAGCCTATTGGAACAAATCGCCAGTTGGAGGGGGTGGGATCTGCAGGATTCGATACTGCGCCACGTCCCAAATCCCCCGAATTCCAGAAATTTAGGCTCCTAGCCCGGATGTTGGCCCATCAGGGCCCTGGGACACAGCGTAATATACACAGCCTTGTGGGCCGCCGAGCAACGCCGGCCGGGTCATGTGTGCTGTGCATCAACCCTTTGGCTGGGTCGCTTGGGGGCGATGAACGTGTTTTCTGGCCTTGGCGTCGGGGCCTATCTGCTGGAAGCTGCCTGGCTGGGACTACATTCGGCGTACTGTCTTCTAGGGCATGACACCTAAAGGCGAGCCGCTAGATCGAGTTGTTCTGATAGCTTTCTTGTCGAGATACATCTCACACCTGGTGCTTGATACAGGGCAGCGCTCTGTAAGCTCAAAAGAGAGTAGTAAAACATTTCCAACAATGACCGGAATGATGCATTACAGGCTTGGACGTGTCCTTTGTCGAGGCTCTCATTTTCATAAGGCGTTGATTCGAGCCTCCAGACAAAGAACCGTACCTCGAGGTGCCATTTCTTTGGGCTTCAAACAAGGGCTGCCTCTCTTTCATTCTCGTCGCAGAAATTTATAAACGTGAACTTCTGACACGACAGGACTCGGATTGAACTCAGGAAGCCTTTGCATTTCCGTCATCTCTTGACACCAACCACCGACCGTCTATGGCCTTGAGCGTTCACGTAACGACTCCTTCAAACATCTATCGGCTCGAAATTCACCGAAATGCCTTTTGGGTACAGGACTGTGGCGGCGAGTGACTCGCCCTGGGACCGGGAGTATGAGACTGCAACAGACAAGGTCTTCATCCCACCAGGACGGTCAGCCATGGACCCGGCCTTCCCCCCAATGGACCCACGGACACTTCATCCCCTGACCGCAGACCATCAGAATGTCTTGGACATTCATCATCCTATCCCTATGGACAAGCCTTCGCCACCTGAATTGGACGCGTTGTTTTACTCGGAAAGTTCTCAGATGACGGACTTCTTGGGTCTGCGAACCTTTGAGGCCGCAGCACTCCATAATCCCGCCTGGAGCCAGAACCGATTGGAAGAGGTCAGCGTGTCTGTCAACGAGAGCAGCTGGCTGAAGGTTTTTAAAAAGATACGGTGGTGTTCATTCGAGAGACCCATTATAGAAACCTCACCAGGATTGGCTGCAGCTGGATTTGGCATGGCTGACGATTGGAGCGTGGATAATCCAGCCGTCTGGGGTCCGTTGTCCACGTCAATTGAGTTGGCCAACCGCATCATTCTACAGTCCTTCAAGACACCATGGTAAGTTGTCAAAGAGATTGACCCTTCGATTGTGTTGGGTGGGTTTAAGCATCATAATTGCTCACTATGTTGCAACGAAGGATGCAGGCGCTCTTAACGCCAGAGAATTGGGTCACACAGTTTCGTGACATTCAAGACGCCCGCCGACAGTTCCCAGTGGTACCGAATGCTCCAGTGCCCGTGTTCTTCCTGGATCAAAATCGGCCAGACAAGACAGAAGAGCAGTGCAAGCAATATGTTCAGGGTCTTTTTGCGACACAAAAGCCACTGTGGCATTTGTATGCTGACACGGATGACCGTAGCAGGGTCTGGATGGGATTTGCAAGTACCAACGCAAGACCAGATCTTGTTTCAGATTCGGGATTCGGTTACTATGTCAATCATCTTGCTGCCTTCGTCGATGTAGAACCGTTACGGACCATGTTGAACCCCAACGCTACGTCGCATTCTCGCTACATCGCGAGAGCCATGTTGGCTATTACAGTATGTCTCTCCGTGCTCCTCACAGCTGCCATTTTTAACACGGTAATCTTCCAGATAAGCCATGAACTCATGGTAAGTACAAAGTAGTTCTTATGCGTACTCAGGGAGATATGCTTTAGTCCATACTGATGAACCACGCCACAGCACATATTGATCCTTCAAATCTTTAAGCTGAAAGGTTGGTCGGCTGGCCGCGAGCAAATGGTGAGGCTCATTGGAGATACAATCCTTGAAAGAAAAGAAAATTAACAGCAGTGCTCTCTAGTTCTTCAATGGAGAACGTATGGCCGAGTTGGGCCACTCCTTTATCCATAATTTCTTCGGAAATGCTGTTGAAAATGCACCACTGAGACTAGGAAGATACATGTCATTGCGCGGACCCGTGGCCGGCTCTGGACCCTTCTTCAACGCGTACTCGACCTTTTTCCCCGAATTTCACATCTCGATGAACGGCTTCAGTGCCATTGTACACGTCGTCCCCGATCAGCCAGCAGACCCTCTGGCATACAGGAAGGATACAAAGTACACACAGCCGGTGTTTTGGTTTCGTTCCCTGAGCGATCCCATTTTCTGGAACACCCATGTCAGAAACTTTGGCCAGCCGGCCTTACAATGCCCACTCTTCCTGCCAGGGACTGTAGTAACGCCGACTGATATGAACAAATATTACGAACACACCAGATGGGATGTTGCTGCCGCGAACTTGATGACAGCCAACTTTCAGAACGACATGCAGACGGCACGCGCCGACCTCAGCCTGGTGCGTCACGCCGTAGCGACGTGGCGACCATGGCATCACCGAGCTCATGCTCAGTGGGCTGCAACCGTATACAGTCACGAACAATGGCGGGGCCACCTACATGACATGGTGGATTGTTTCCAACCCCCAATTGCAGGCATCGCCGGGCCACTAAAGGAACACAAGGCTGCGAATTTCGTGGCCAAAGTGACGGCCCCATGGTTTAGACAATACGTCGCCAGTTGGCAGGCGTATCCGCAACCTCACTGGCTGGGGCATTTCCCAGACTTCGAGACCTTGCACCATTGTAAAAGGGCCAAATCCTTCTTCTATCAATCTATAGCGTTTCTCGTCGATGCAGCTCTCGCTCCCAGGGATCAAGAGATCGGTTTTCAGGATCCGCCGCTACCTCCAGCGCCTCCCAGAACCTGGCGGCGAAGCGGGAACAAGCCCAATCCGGTTGGCTACGACCCGATCGCATATCACGAACAGCCCGCTCCAGAGCAGTACACTATCGAACCCAGACACCAGCCAAACAATCAATTTACATCAGAGATCCGAATCCGCGCAAGAAACATTGAACTAGCGTACCGGTGCTACTGTATGTACCGGTGGTTCTTCCTGACAACCCAGCCTCTCGACGTCGCGTTCTTTGCGCAGTTGAACTCGCACAAGGCTCAGATGGTCGCTATTCAGCAGCATCTGGTCTCACATCCGAATGCTCCCCAGCCTTTGATCCCCTTCACTTTCCAGTTACCGCCGTACACCGAGACGGCGCAGTTTCGCGCTGAAAGCTTCAACGTCTTGACGATGACGAAGATGCTGGAACTCAACCCATTGCGAGCTGTGCAACATCTTTTACAGCCTGGCCAGGACATTTTCCAGGAGTGGCTTCAATTGCCTCAAGATACAGTACTGCAGCCTGCCCATGCACAGCTGGCGCGGACTGTGGAAACCCGCGGTCTCGAATATTTCACACTGGGCAGGCTGTACGACTTGCGTGTTCAAGAAAAGAGTGTCCTCGTGCTGGTTCTTTTTGATTCGGAGATCGATATTTTCGAGCTGGAAGATGTCATGCAGGTATTAACGATGACGGCTGACGAGGTGCGCGATGAGATGGAGCCATCCGCCTACGGACACGTTCTTAATAAGAATGTCAGTGACGAGTTCTACGCCAAATCACATGGAATTCTGCCATTAGGACGGGTAGCTCAGTGGCTACGCGAGGAGGATGTTGCCATTCGCGATGGCAAGGAGGGCCGCCCTCACTGGATCACAGCGGCTGGATTTGTCTATGATTTGACAGGTTCGCCTCCCCCCTAAACTTTCTCTTCATGCAACCGAAAACATCTGACGCCTTACAGACTTGAAAGAACTGGCTTCAGAAAGCCAGTCGAACCTCGTGGAGACACTGATGAGCGCCCCTGGGAGCAACCCGATGCCGCGTGTCTTCCTTGGGGATCACGACTTCGACGATGCACTGGCACTGATAGAGCCTTTAAAGATTGGAATGACCCTTCCGTTCGGATTGGCTGATGAATCTGGCTCGAAAGATGTACTTACAAATCGTGAAATTGGATGGAATCAATTTCCTCAAACACGACAGTACATCCAGATCCATGAATATGTCTACGACATCACTGGTATGCTATAGTATACCGCAAGTTCGACTCACGTAATCCATGCTGATGAAAATTTGACAGACTATGCCCAATGGCACCCTGGAGGCACAAAGATTTTGGCCCATGCTGCCGGGACCAATGCTTCAACCATTTTCGAGGAGTACCATTCTGAGAATGGAAAAGACCTTTTGGAAGCCATTAAAGGCCTGCGGGTAGGGCGTATTGTATCATCTCGTACTCGCTACGAAAAACTCTCTACAACCGAAATTCGTATCCAGGACAAGATCTTCGATATTGCGCCCCTTCGGGAGACAGAAGCGGAGCTATTCGTTGCTCTCAAATCCTACTGTGGCAAAGATGCTTCGAAGAAAGTCCTCGCGATGGAGCCCAGCATCGAGCCATCAGAGACACACCCGTTGTTGCTAATATCCAACAGCAAGCCAGAGCTAATCGTCGCGAAAATAACGCCCGGCATGAAAGACCTGCCTCTAATGAGCGAAGCTGAACTGGTGATGCATGACGGCGACATGTGCTATGGTCGTCATGGGTTTGCGGCGTCATATGTGGCTTATGACGGCGCTGTGTTTGATGTTACAACACTGATGCAATACGATCCACGTCCTTTTACCGATGTTCTAGCCAGGTACCTCGGTAACGTTATCATATCAGGTGCACAAGAAGTTCGACTCGGGCAACTATTGCAACAATATTTTCCGTTCCGAATTGTCGCCAGGCTCGCCAAGTATGATGAGCCCCTTGAATCACTGGCTTCAGAAGTAGTCCGGTGGCAAGGGCATCGAGACTGGCCACCGACATACGGCGAGCTGAAAAACTACCTATTGCGTGAGGATGAGACGAAACAAGCCTCCTCACCAGCGGACAAGAAAGGCAAAGAGATATCAGAGCTGAGGAGCCCATATAATGCTCCAGAACATAACATCGTCCAGGAAGATCCGAAGCCGGAACAAGAAAAGCGCTTACCGGGAGAGCCATGGAATATTTCGTCGGGGAGGGCCATGAAACTACAAGAGCTTGGACCGGTGGCTTTGAAAAAGTTGCAAAAGCAACTAATGGCGAGTCGTGGATCACAGTCAAAGACAAAGAGAGTGCGGGAAGAGGCCGTCCGATCGGGATCGCGACGGAAGAAACGCTCCTTTGAGTCAGAGTCTTGGGTGAGGGGTGAGCCCATGAAACGCGTCAGAGTTGCCTAGTCCTGTATTCCAAATCATGCGACGCGTCCGAATGCCGACATCATTCTTTGAGGCCCCCAAGCCTTTACCATTGGCTTAAATGATGCTGGTATGGAGAAACATTAGCTTCGCTGACCTCAAATTGCAAGTCCAAATGGTTCAGGGCGTGATACTATTCTCCCACGACTTTCATTGTAGTGAGTCTCGGACTGTGCGATATTTGCCAAAGAAACTTGTATAAGCAGACTGTGCAGCAGAAACCAACCACGTTCTATTGCAACAGCAAACTTCCGCAGTGAAGGATAGACGCCAAGCAAGGTACTTCTCCATCAGTAGAGCCACGGCAATACACAACAAGTAGTTGTGACCGGGTGCTCCGTCAATATGTACTCCCATGAATGACACCCGGTTTATGTCTATGGAAAAGCTGACTTCGAGAGTTACTTGCGTGCTTTGACCTCGTATGTCTGATAATTTACCCCATTGTGTAGGGCCTCCTTCGCCCGTATATTAGCTGTGAAGCGTGTAGTGTTCGACAACAAGCGAATGATAACGCTCTCCACTGCTGCAAGGAGTCAACACCCAGTTTTAATGGCCACTTGTCCTCCCAACATATGGCGCAACTCGATGCAGCCTAAGCACGTATCTCACTGCATTGAGATGACGGCCAGAAGAACCTGGATTGAAAGCGCTTGGTCGGGATGCGAGCACACAGGTCAGCTCAAGTCATCTTCGTTGTGGGGTGCCACACACTGTGTCCGAGACTTCACAACTTCCCAGGCTTTCAGATGATGGGCCAGAGCGTGTCGGGGCCTAGGCTCTGTGCAAAAGACAACCATGGTCGAAGGATCTGTCGTTGAGGAATGAGATTACGATCTCGGGACGGCCCCTGATTCTGACGCGGCCAGGCACTGGAGATGAGAAATCGGCTAAGACATGCATGCATGGCAAAACATGGGCCAGGACATTTGTCCCTCCCTTGATCATGTTGTAGCTCGTTTACCGCAAAAGTCCGGGTCCACGGAGAATAGTTGAGATCATCTGCATGGGCCAGGCCGAGCTCCGATACATCCGAATCACAAGAGTTACATCACCACTGGAATTGCAGTCGGTGAACTGACTTTGCTAGGCACAGAGAGGCTTCCAACCACTTTCAGCCACTTGCTCTGGGCTGAAATCCCCACCTAAGTAGGTGGCAAGCTTAGTTATGCTTATTGGCACTTGAACTAGCGCCTTTTCTCTCGCGGTGTTAGCAGCGTGTTAGCATACTGACAACATTGATTCGTCATGCATGCCATGGCGGCCGGCGGAAGGAGTCTGTGACGAGGAATGGAAATAAAAATGATCGGAGGGGGGAGAAAGATAACCACGTTGGATCAGTCTCCACCAGTGGAATGGAGATGGAGCAAGTCATCACGTGGTCATAATTCTTTGGGCAACAAGGGCATCCTTTTCCGTTGTGAAGTGGAGGTTGTAGATGAACTCTGACGAAGTGTCATTCGCGGGGTACGCTAAAAGACCGCAATTAACCTTGGGCCAGGCGGGTCTGTAGAGGCTACGATTGTCGATCAGTGACATGACCCCGATCTGGTAAATGATCGAAGCAGGGATGTGGAGCTCGCTAGGTTCGAGGTGTCATTCGTCTGTTGAGTACATCCCAGGCCTGGTCGTCGAGGCGCAGCCCACGGGAACTTCGCTGGCCGCTGGTTCCAGCGACTGAATTAATCATCTCGAACGAGCAGAGAGCGCAAAGTTTTAGCTCCGAAGCCGAACACCCTCGGAGCTGTGTCTGATCAAGGTTGATGACGACAGAATGCCTTGGCAATGGCCAGATCAACCGCGCCGCTTTCGCAAGGGAGTCAAGCTGCTGGGCAAAGGTCGGCCAATGTGCACCCGAGTCTTGGGCGACTCTTGGCAGAACGGGCCCTTGCATCACTGTTTACCAAGTCTGGGATTCAAGCGCCTAGGCGGCAAAACAGTGTACATAGTATGAGACTTTTCGATTAAATGGGATTTGTGGAGTCACTATTCATCTACCAGGGCTCGTTCCTCCACGGAGTCCATGGAGACCCTTCGCAGACCGAGATGTTGGAGCTGCCATGAAGTGGCCAGGCATGTCCTCTGGCACCTGGCCGGGTTTATTGCTTTCTGAGCGGACGACAAGCTCGGACTAGGCAGGGACCTTCGTAAGTATCCGTGCATCTAGATAGGGACATAGCCGCTTGGCTTGACACTTTGTACGTCGATTGATGATCCGTCATTTCCCCAGTAAACACAGCCACGATAGCAAGTACGGGCCCGAAAACAAGATTGGTGGAAGAGCAACAAGATGGTGGGTGTCAGGCTGGTCTGGTTGATAGAATGTGGGAATTTGTCCATGAAACATCTTGGTCAAAACCTGGGGAATAGTGATGAGGACCACACGTGCGCACAGGAGCTGGACAATGTCTGCCTTTGGCATGGAGCTTCTTGAGCTCAAAAGGTGTAATCCTGTGGATGATCGTATGCCAAGCCGTCGGGCCCAATAATTGGGAGGCAATCGGATGAAGTTTAGGTATAGCTCCCACGCTAAGATGGCGGCTGATGGCACATCCGGGACATTGATCCACTGTGAGAGATCGACAAAGTGCAGGACTCCTAGGACCAGTACTCGATTAGGCACTTGCCAAGAGGCTATGCCTCGCGTCCAACTCTATCCGTTCGTTCGACTGGGTGCGTCTGACGAATTGCTGCTCTTCTTGGTGACTTGAATACTTGCCCTGATGAAGCCTTCTCGCCAGGTCTTCTACTTTTTACTGCGCAGCCTGCGAGCCTGGTGACCGTTGGCTGACGACAGGGGCCAAGACACCAGCCCATGGCGTCGATCGCGGAAAAGCATCTTAAATTTCGGACTATCAGGCTTGGCCTCACTGATACGAAGGCTTGCCAACACACAGAAGGGATGCAACCGGAGCTTCCCAAGCCCCTGGATCACTCCGTGGAGCCAATGGAATGCATCGAAATGAGCAGGGAGGGACTACGATGCCAGAAAACGACATGCGGCTTTAGACTCCTTCGGTTGTCTCTGGGCCCCATCTTTACCAACGACCAACCATGATGAGGCAAAAGGGGTGACCACAGCGTCCATCAGCCCGTCGGAGTCGTTGTGTCCCGTCGAACGCCGAGCTTTTGATCCACCCTGCCGGCACCTAATCTGAAATCTGCCGACTTGCAGGCGGCGTAGTGTTGTTGTTCGAGAGGACCGCGGAGAGCCACCGGAATGACGACGAGGATGAGGACGCTCGCTCTTGGCTCCCGTCCATCACAGGGCACTTGCGATCCTGGTCTTCTGTGATTCCTGCGGGATGATGCATGGCGTATCAAGCGGTTCCTCTAGCGATCTATATAATGAGGGCGAACGCCAACTACTACCGCTAATCTCTCATCTCATCAGTCACATAATCATCAACTAGCCAACGACATATCTCAATCTCACAACACACTCTTTTACTGAAGACCCAAATATCAAACATCCCATCACAATGAAGTTCTCCGTCGCTGCTCTCGCCCTCGGCCTCACCGCCGTGATGGCCACCCCCACCAAGAAGATCATTCACAAGGGCGCTTCTGCTTTCCCTTTCGCCTTCACATCGACTTTCAGCGTCTATGCCACTCCCGAGGAGGTCGTCAACCCTGAAGGCGTCTACACCGGCGGTCTCAAGGGCTCCAAGTCCTGGTTCAACTTCGGCATCAACTCCCACGAGGATGTTATCTGCTACAACATCTCTGTCTCCGGCTTCCAGGGCGAGTACCAGTCCCCGGCCTTGACTGCCACCCACATCCACCAAGGTGCCAAGGGCAAGTCTGGACCTCCTAGGTATATTATTTATCCGCGTCCCTTGATTCACAACAACACATGGTCTAACGCGCTCCAGGGTCGTGTTCCCCGACCCCGAAGGTGAAGGCGACGTTCGAACCTCCATTGGGTGCATCAAGGGCCCCTTCGTCACTGGTGTCAAGCCTAACGGCGGCCCTGATGCTGGCGAGGGTTTCACCCTGAGCCGCATCGAGCAGAACCCTACTGACTACTACGTGGACATCCACTCCTCGTTGGCAGTTCCTGGCGCTGTTCGTGGACAGTTCAAGAAGGGTAAGGGTGACTGCTAGAATAAAGTCATCTACCCCACATGCTCTATGGTTGGCTTAGGATGTGTTATCACGCTGTGAGCTACACGGAACTTGACGAGTGTGTATACGGTAACCATTGTTCACCTTCTTACGCTTGAGCATTATGCTGAGCTACACTTAATGTTTATATTATGGATACAGATGATCGAAAAAAGCTTCTCATCATCAATGCCTCAAGGTCCTCCTCTAAAACCGTGATACGACAACATGTGAACACATACAGTTTACCCCCAGCGGGGTGAACGCCCTCGAGCTGACAACTTGGGATGAATTGCTACTCGTAGTCAGCGGGAATACTTAACAAGCAAAGCATGTGCCGAGACTCTTTGGCATACGAAAGATGGAGTCTCAACGGCTCCCAAATCTATCAATAGTGAGCTTAGGGTATTTCCCTCGTCTTCAAGAAAGTTACGAATTTTTCGAAATAAAAAGCACATCCACACAAGTTGCAGTCAAACTTTGCTTGCAACGGGTTTACTGAAATGCATACAGCCCCTTGGAAATGTCGTTTTTCTCGTTTTCTAGCACGTTTGCAGGCAAGCCCAAACTTTGGCAGTTGTCGTAAGCGAGTGAACCTGGCTGGCAACGCGTATTTCTGACCTCACACCGAGGCGCGTTTCCGCATAGCTTGGTTCTATAGAGGTCAAATCCCTCCATGGAAGAGACTTGGGAAGTTTTTGCCTCGATAATCGTGCAAGGAAGAATCGAGCACTTTTTAACGTCAAATCTAGGACCCTGCAGTTTACGCTCCTGATTCAAACCTCCCCGTTGAAAGGAAAACAACATGGGTCACTGATCTGCAACTAATGCTCCATTTCATCAGGGTTTCAAGGAGTTATGATTGCCGGAATTTGATACAAGATTTTGTTTCTTGACGTCAAACTGGTGCAAGAGGTCAAACACGCAGCCTTCACAGCTCAACTGACGGGTGGTAAATACAGGAGGGGTTTCTGCGAGCATAAACCTTTTGCTACACGACTGACAGCTCAACGAGATGCGAACGGGAAAGCTCATCAACGACTTGCAGGTACGTCATGAACCGACCCAAGACGCTCAAAAAGACAGCTCTGCACATGCGGTTACGCAGAAGCAATAATCTTGGCTGCGGCAACTTCAGCAATGCCATAAGCGGCTGTTTGGATGTGAGCCGAAGGGATAATGGGAATGATGCTGTTATCAACAACACGCAGGCCAGTGGTTCCGTAGACGCGAAGCTCAGCATCCACAACACCACCGTCCTTTCGGGGCAGCATGGCACAGGTACCAACAGGATGGTAAAAGCTGCCCATGGCCTTCTTCGCGAATGCGCGCCACTGCTCGTCGGTCTGGACATCTGGGCCGGGCTCAGTCTCGGCCTCCCAGGTTGCCTTGATGGGTGCAGTTTCGGCGATGCGGCGAGAGAATCTTGCGGCTTCCACAAGAGCAGTAAGGTCATACTCGTTGCTCAAAAACTTTGGGTCGATGATGGGCTTTCCACAAGGGCTCTGGGGGTCGATATGCACACTACCGCGCGAGAAGGGATGCATTACCGTGGACAGGAAGGTTACAAACTTTCCACCAGTGTAGCCAAAGGCGCCGACATAGTTGGCTTCGTAGATAACTTCCACCGAAGGGACCTGGGAGTTATTGAGGAACTGCAGCTTCTTGGCGTCGACAACGTTTTTACTGGAGCCGAAGACGTCAGTGGCAATCTTCTTGATCTTGGCCTCAATGCCGAGCTGCTTCCAGTTCATGAAGCCGTAGGCTGCAGTTGTATACTCGTATAGCGACTGTTTACCCTCCTGCCACTTTTGCAGTTCACCTGTGGCGTTGACCCCCGCGTTGTCAAAGATGAGGTTGTCGAACGAATCGATGCCATCCTTGAGTCGGTACGTGTTGGAAACGCGGATGTGGTCCTGGTAGTTTTCGCCCACACCAGGGAGGTTGACAAGGGGAGTGATGCCAGCGGCCTTGAGAACATTGGGCTGGCCAACTCCCGAGAGCTCAAGAATACCCGGGCTTTGGACGGAACCAGCAGAAACAATGACCTCCTTCTTGGCGGTGATGATGACACCACCGGGAAGGGTCACGCCGGTGGCCTGGTACGAACTCTTGCGCTTGACCAAAATGACCTTCTCAACCTGGGTATTTGTCTTGACAATCAAGTTTTTGCCAGCCAAAGGAAGGTAGCTGCTCGCTGAGTAAGATCGAGTGTGCCTTGTAACATCTATGTTGGTCGGCTGGAAGCCTACTCCAATGGGCTCACCACCCATGCTCTGGCGGTCGTTGATGTTGATGCCCAACTTGCTTACGGCAGGCTCCCAGAGCCTCAGCACAGGGTATACCACACGATTGTAGTAGTTGCGGATGGGCCCCTTGAAACCATGTCGGTCGTCGTCGTCGTCGGTAAAATTTTCCGACTTGGTCATGGCATTGATCATGGTGTTCCAACCCCATCCCTTGTTGCCGAACTCGGCCCAGGACTCGTACTCTGGCGCAGACGCGCGGTCGTAGCAAAGGTAGTTCATGGCAGACGAGCCGCCAAGAACCTTGCCGCGGTTCACAAGAACTGAGCGGCCATCAAGCGCCGACTGTCCTACCGTTGTGAAATTCCAATCGAGCTCAGACCCCAAGATTGACCCCCGGAAGCCAGGAACATTGATCCTGAGATCATCGGGAGCGGCAGGACCTGCTTCGACGAGCAAGATCTTCGATTTGGGGAGGCCCAAACTCAGACGCGTAGCGAGAGCGGCACCAGCAGTGCCACCTCCCACAACGATCTGCCACCCTGTCAGCGTGCCTGGAACGTGTCAAACCGCTCGAGCGGCACACAACCTTCACTTACGTAGTCATACGAGTCAGGCTCAGCAGAGACACTGCCACTTAGCGCAATGGCCGCAACAAGAGACTGTGAAAGCTTCATGACTGAAGGCGATGTTCGCTGGTTGGCAAATAGGTGCAGAAGGAACCAACGAGCTTGACGAGAGTCGCTTGCAAAGGAAAAGGTTCTTTACCTTCTTTGTGGGCGAGGCTTCCAGTGTTTATCAAGCATGGGATGGGGTAAAGACACCGCTTGCCGTTACAATCGTACGCGGAGCAACGACGGACATCGCTTCAAGCGTGCACGTTGCATTTGCCGAGCCTCCTGCAGATAGAGCCAATAGTGCTCGATCAATGGCTGGGTATGGCCTCATTCCGCAGGCGAACAGGCAACGGACGATACACAATGACCTTAATAAGCCCAAAGGGCCTGAACGCAGCCTGTATTCGCGACGAATCAACGTTGCAGCTCCACGCGAACGAATGCTCCTCGCCAATACTTCCGAGATTGCCGCATAAACGTGGGGCTCAGGCAGCCGGTAATGCTGCAGGAGACGGGCAGCTCTTCCTGTAGTCAGGGGCATTTTGACAGAATGCGTTGCATAATTGGAATTCGTTCCCTGTATCGCTACCGGATCACCTGCTTGGTCAGGAAGGAGACATTGGGCCATGAGGTGAGAGACTCAGGGCCTGCATCTAGACAAGGTCACAGCTGAAATAGCTGGCCGGACCTGTCACCGATGCCCCGAGGCCTTACGGAAAGTAACGGCAGGCGGCGGGGGAGTTCGACCAAGCTGGATCTAGCCTCTGGAAAGAGCATATGGTTAAGTCAAACCAGGGGTGCTGGATGGAAGTTCTCTGAGCTGCCTGTCGTCCAAGACCCTGCTGTGCTGGTGGATGACTCGCTCAGGGGGAACCTGGCTAGTCACAAATGGTGTCATTCATTTCGGCCCTTGCTGCAGCGGCTGTGGAAGCCGGTGTCCTTCCCCGGCCTTGAGTCTAGAAACAAGGGCGCCTGTCAGCGCTATGTTGCCAGGGTTGTACGAGTGAGCCAACCACTGCGGGGGTGGAGCAGCGTCAAGGGATCTGAACCAGGAAAGCTAGAAAGCTTGAAAAGCTGGAGCTGCGTCTGTGCGGAGATGGGTAGGCCGGCACATACGCCACATCACAGCCATGCCCTGCGCACGTATAGTGCAATGGCTTCAGGGTCTTGCAATCGCTTCTGTGTACCATGTATGCATCCGGAGCGGGACCCCTTTTCAACTACAGTATGCATTTCCATCACGAGAACTGACTCGTGGACAACAGCAAAGATGGAGAGGCGTGCACTGACCGATCATGTCATTGCTCTTCTCCGGAGCCTGCAAAAGCGTGCCTTCGGCAGGGGGCGGCATTTGTTGAGTCAGCCACTGAGGGGATTCGATAGCATCTTTGTAACATCAATCGCTACGCCGCGGAATGTTCCTGGACAACCTTGACGCCACGAAGACGTTCGTGGTAAAGTCGGCACATGGCGTACTAACTAATGCTGTGCTGAATTCATGAACTAAGGTAGGGGGGTCCCTCACGAAAGGCTTCCAACTTAATCACTGAGGATACCCAATACGCCTCTCAGCTGCTCCACAGTTGGCCTCGGAGGGAATGGACCGGCCGGAGGCCGCGGATGAAACCGTTGCTCAGGCCTTCTCAAGGCCTTCCAGACGCCGGAGATCCTGCAAAGACGTGGGTATTCTCTCCGCCTCCGCCTGTAGCGTCATCCTATCACTCACAGATCAATTATTTGCATCGGTCAAAGCGTAATTGCACAACGCATGGAAGACACCAACCCTTCGCATATGGGCTTTGTTGATCGAGGCCGAACCCTGTCGTCCCCGATGTCTGTCTGGTGTCCTTTGGAATTAAGCTACGTCCGATCCTCGTGGCTGTGTTCCATCAGGGTACATATACACCACCAGGTCCTTCCAGCCCTGCGTGGCCTTGCGAGTCTTCTAGCCCTTTTTTTCTGAATGGACAGTACGAAATGGCGGATCTGCCTGCTATCATCAGAACCGAGACGAGGGGGCCTATGGGCGTCGGTATAGCCGTGGGGTTCATATCGGCTTCTGTGCTTTGTCTTGCAGGTCGATTCTACACTCGTGGAGTGATTCTCGGATCCATCGGCAAAGATGACTGGAGCATACTGGTGGCAACCGTCAGTCTTGCCTGAGGCGTCTTTCTCTTCTGATGCTGACCTGCCGAGCAGATATTCGCTCTCGTCGACTCCATTGCCATTTGCTTCGAGGTAAAATATGGCCTGGGAAGACACTCCGAGAACGTCTCGGCTGCAGAAGGTGCGGAGCACCTAAAGGTCAGTGTCCTATCCACGAGCTTGGTCAAGGAGTCCGCCTCGATCTTGTACGGGTTGGTTATGGAGTTCAATGATGCTAACTTTCAGACGTACACAGTGGCTCTTGGTTGGTATCCTCAGCTATAATCTGGGTATTAACGTTGTGAAGCTGGGCTTCCTCTTCCAGTATCGACGAATCTTCGAACAACCAATAGTGCAGAAGGTGTGCTACTGGTTCATCATTTTCGTCTGCATGTGGACGTGCGTACAGGTTATTCTTCTGTCGCTCGCATGCCTACCGATCTCGTTCATTGTTCCCAGTATGGTCGGGAAATGCCTCGATACACTGCCCATCTGGTATTTCTCCTCCGGCATGAGTATGGCGACCGACATTATGATATTTTGCATTCCGATTCCTTCGGTGTTGAAACTTCAACTCCCTCTGAAGCAGAGAATGCTGGTTCTTGCTGTTTTCTGCCTCGGCTTCTTGTACGTCGTCCCACCTCAGCGTAGTCCTTTGCTATGCTTTTTGAAGCTAATGATAAGTCTTCAGTGTTTGCATCATCTCAATCTACCGCATGTTCACTCTTCGAACCGGAGTCATCAGTACCGACCCATCGTGGGATAATATTAGCGTCGCAATCTGGTCCTGCCTCGAACTCAATGTTGCCATCATTGCGTCTTCACTACCAACATTGCGCCCCCTTATCGCCCGTATTCTTCCAGGCGCTGGCCTCTCATCCGCGCGCAACTATCACAACACATACCATCGGTACGGCTCGGCATCGGCAGCGATGGCGCATACTGGCTTCCAGTCCACCGAGAGTAGAAGCCAGAAAATGCGTAGCACAAGCACAGAGGAGCTAGCGCTCGACGACTTCAGAACCGAGGGTCCTGCTACTAGTGTCCCAACTGGAATCCATTCCCACGTTTCTTCCGACACAAACAAGAGCTTCTACCTACAGGGCAATCTGGAGGAACACCGCATCGTCAAGACAACAGAGATATCAGTGGATGTACGCGAGCGATAGCGACTAGAAGATTCCTTATGCATACAATATTCCAAGGGTAGTGGGACACGCAGTGAACAATGCAACAACATTCCATACCACCGACACTTGGCTTGCAATTAGGTCAGACACCACGGCTTGAGACTGCGAACAATATCCGGCAACGGCATCCTTTCAGATCACCGGGTTTTCGACCATCAGGACTGGTGATTTGTCCGTGAAGTAATGTGCTATGTTTCAGCATCTACTTTCTGACACCTGCCATCTGATATCAGCGTCCCGGAACATGCCGAACAGCAGCTTTTCAGGCGGCAGCCATCGTTTTCGTGCCCTAAGATTTATAATGTCGGTAGGGGCAATGATCAAGATCAGTACAAAGGCCCGACCCGGCGTTTCACGAGGTAACCTCGCGTAGAAATCGTTTCATTTTGGTGGAGTCTTTCCCCGCATCTATTGTGTTAACCCAAAACGGGGGTGTTGACGCGACGAAGTGGTGAGGCTTCAACAAAGCCAATTGAGCCCACGCCATGGACACAGGTTTATGCCTCACATCCTGCCTGAAAATCGTTCCTCAGCATCTCCATATCGGTGGTGTGGCATCTCAAATAGGGATCCAATGCGTCATCACGAGGGCTTTCGAACTTGTTCACTCTCGTACACCGCCCTGTCAGGCAAAAGCTTCGCCAACCATTATCAAAGCCACACTCGTGCCATGTCATCGTGCGAACGCCTCTTGACAAGAATGAGCCCGGAGGCGTCTGCTATGGGCTGGGTGCGGCGCAGTCGATTCGTGAATAGCATCAGTCTGCATAAGGACAGTGATGGCGACTCTAGCTGAAGACGACCGACCTGATTCGAGGACGATTTCGCTTACCAAATAGCCAGACCCTTCGTGGCCAAGTCTTTCAAGGCTGAATTAAGCTTATGTCTTGGCAGCGCAATATGGTCACAGAACAAACGCCTTGGGATGGTTCTGTCTTAGTCCCTGCAGCCCGTGACCATCAGCCGCAGCTTTCAGCATCTTGAGAGACACAATGCGCCGCCACCAGGGACCCGGAACGCTCAATGCCGTACCTGGACCGAGCGCCACGATACTTTCATGAGCCGTAAGTGGACGAAGCTATCGCCGTCTAGCGCCTCAACATGCAGGTTTGCTTGGCAGCAGGCATCTTTGGTCGAGCGATAACATGTGGGCGCGATGGAATTTTATTCGACATGCCCTACGACGTGTACTGTATAAAAGTCGTCCTTGGGAACAGCAAGCCAGGCAATCGCATGTATCAGCCACGCTGATATTGCTTCTCTCGAAAGCCATCTTGTTCACCCCTCCCTTGTGTCTACCATAATGAGACAATTCATCAAATTGACCTTTGGCTTCCTTCTCCTTTTGGGGCTTCTCGTCTCGGCTCAGGAAGACTCCGCAGCCGTTTCGTCAGCTGGCGACGCGTTGTCTGTTGAGCCAACCCCTACGGACGTACCTGTCGACGTAACCTCCCCTGTCGTAACACCCACTCCGTCCGAAGAGCCAGTCGTCCCAGTTCCTGGCACAGAGTCTCCTTCGGATCAAGGCCCTGTAGATACACCGTCTTCTGTTGCCGGCGAAGTTTCCATCAGCGCGCAGTCGAGCCCCTTAGTCTCGTCTTCCGATCTCGTCGAGGCCTCTGCAACATCTGCCGACGAATCGTCTGCTACAGACGCATCAGCTAGCGCCACCCCGACTGAAGGCGAGGATGTCGGCGAAGCCGAAGAGTACGACTTCGAAGCACGCGAAGTGACTCCGTTGGAGAGTAGGCCCGATGTCGTCACGCAAGATGAGCTTCTGGCCGAGGCTGAGGCCAATCTACCCGTTATGGAGATCCCCGAAGAAGACGCCAGAGAGATTGCAGCCCTCGAGGCAAGCATGTTTGAACACTTTGTCAGAAACGACCCCGTCATCAACCCGGAGGACAACATCACGCTTCCTGAGTCTGTTTCGAATTGCGAGCTTGGGCTGGGCAAGCGAGACATGGCCGGCGGCTGGTCTGGCCAGTCGAATTCCAGGGTTATGAAGAGACAAGAGTGCAGACCGGTGACACGCCTGGATTGTGATCTTCACATCTGGCACATGCTGTCAGCCAGAGGTGCCAAGCGCCCTGATACTATTGAGACCAGGATCGAGGAGTCGGTACGTGTCATTCCTTGGATACCCTACTCTGCCAGCGTGTGAAGCTGATGCTGGCCAACCACAGGTGGCTTATCTCAAGTCAGTTTTTGAGCCTCGGGGTATTTACTTCAACCACGTCAGCACCAACTTCAGGCAGCCCGTCTCGACGACGGCCGATTGGAAAACGCTCAAGAAATCAGAGTCCAAGCTCGTCAAGTGGCAGACGGCCAGTCGCGCCGGCGATCACATGGCGCTGAATCTCTGGCTGGTGAACAATCTGGTCCCTGCGAGTGGTGTGGAAAAGCCAGGCGGAAACCTCATGGGAGTGCGTCTTGCTTGCCGCCTCCTGACCATTTGAAATGCTGACGAGACTTAGTATGCCACATTTCCTGAAATGAAGCGCTGGGCAACCGACGGAATCGTCATGCAGCAGTCTGCCATGGGAACGCCAGCGTCGACCTTTGTCCACGAGGTTGGCCACTGGCTGGGCCTGCGCCACACGTTCGGCAACAAAGTTGATGACGGCGAAACGGACTGCCTTGTGGGCGACGGTCTTCGCCGGACGACACACACGCGTGGAGACCGCAGCGTCATCTTTGAATGCCAGCAGCTCCCTTGCAACGAGGAGCGCGGCGTGATGCGCATCCCGAACTTTATGAGTGTAAGTCGCCAACCTGGATCACTTTCTTAAATCGCGAATGTCGCTGACAGGAGAGTAGTATTCGAGTTGCAAGGGCCAGCCGATTAATGCAGGCTTCCATGTTGACCAAAAGGCTGCCATGTTTGCGCGAACCATCAGGTATCGTCGGAATAACGCTCCAGACGACTGCAGATACATTGATCCCAGAGGTCTCACCATGTATAGTGAGAGGTCTGTTCATAAGCGATCGTCTATGCAAGATCTCGTGGATGGTAAATGCCCTGACCTAGATGCAGAGGCAGATCGAATTCAGAATGAACCCGCCGCAGCGCCCAGCGGCGACGCAGCAGGCGGTGATACGCAAGGGGGATCAGGGAATGGAAACGACAATAACGGCAGCGGAGCTAGCGAGCTAGTTATACATTTGGGGACTTGGTGTTTGGTTGGCCTCACCGGTTTCATGGTTGCTTTGATGTAAGGAAAGGGGATGAACGAGAGTTTCTCAGGTTAGGTAGGTATGGTAGTAGGGGATTACAGCATGAAGGACATCGTGTGACGCATGAATACAAGCTTCATGATAATTTGAATTTCAGCAACCCTCAGCATTCGCCTGGTCAATGATCACTTGACAATCAGCGGTAGGCTCTCTCGAGCTGGAGAACCTTATCCCTTCCTGGCTAAACATCTACCGTGGACCATGAGCGCAATCGCGCTGATGCCGCTTTGCAAACGTGGCGATATGTTGTACACCCCGCACAAAACAATGAGCCAAGGTAAGGACGAATAGCAAATGAGACCAAGATGTGGATCAATACAAGCTGGGCGATCCACGAGATACAGAGTATTCGCATGAAAAAGCTACTCTAGCTGCATTTACCATCACAGAAAAGGGTGGTGGAACGCGATATGCTTCAATCGTGGTTCGCCTGATCGCAAAGTATAGATTTTGGAGCAAACGCTCCGTACTGTCGTGCAACGCGTTGCTTCTATCAGCTGGCAGAAACAGGCGCATCGCCAAGGCGTTTCTCACAGCCAAGGACCAGATACAATGATGTCATGCTCGGTCTGGACCTCTATCTCGCTCGTCGCTCAGGCACGGACATGAAGATCCTTCGGCTTATTTTGTTCCTGCAGAGAATACAGGATCAGATCACGACATGCGAAATTGACGCGTCGCACAATCGCCTCGTACCTCGTCACAGTTACACGTCATGCCAGGTGGTTCTAGGATATATAGACGGCCCACAGCTCAATCCAGCCAGTCGTCATTATGTCGAGACACCCATACACCGAGGCATCATCTTCGTAAATCGTAGGAAACGACTGTTCATCTTACACCAGACTACTACGAGCTCAGCGCCATGAGAGAGGAGCAATCACCTGCCGAAGGTCGGGCTCCCACTACCGGGCCATCCCTGCCGACCGTCAAGCTCGACACAACCCTCGCCGACCTCTACCGTCAGGCAGCTCCCCGAAAGAAAGCTCGCCGCATCGCCCAGGTCCTTTGCGGCGTGAACTCAGGCCTTCCCCTCTCAGCCAAGTTCCCGCGAAATACAAAGTATCTCTACCAGGACTCGCCCTTCAACACAATAACCGCCAAGGCCCCATCTTGCCCGGACGAAAAGGCCGCTCTCACCCGTGAGCTTGCCATGAAGTATCTCTCTCTGATCCCTCAGCGCGACGCCTTCATCTCGGGCTCAGCGCCCGTCATACTTTTCCACATTGACCACGACGATCCGGCCCAGGTCGAACACGACCGCGCCGAGGCTGAAGCTACCGTCTCCGTACTGGCTGCTGACCAGAAGCCCGAGCTCGTGTTCTGCGCCGGGCCAGCAGACATCCCCGTCCAAGAGAAGGGCATCGACGCCATTGCGTATAAGCTAATGGTCGATGGCCTGGAGAGGTATGACCTGCTCGTGCAGCCGGACGTGCACTGGTTCGTCAACTCGAAGGACGCCCTCGCAAAGTCTGGTCTGCCAACGCCAAAGTGCGAGATCATCGACCTCGAGGGTCACGGCGGGGCGCAGCGCGGCTGCTGCGAGGTGTGCGTGAGCGGCGGCGACGGCGAGGGGAATGAGTTTGTCATTCCGGTCGCGTGCGAGGGAGCGAGGGGCCAATGGTTCGCGCAGGAGAGCGAGAGAATTCTGCAAAAGATTGTACAGAGGAGCCTACCTTTCGTTCTGAAGAACCAGCAAACGTTCGGAGGAGCAGGGACATATGTGGTCAGGACAGAAGAGGAGCGTGGGAAGGTAGTTGGTGATCTTCGAGAGGGGGTTTTGAGAAAGCTCATGTCGAGCGTGACGGAAGCGAATGCGCATCTGCGGCCGGGCGCCCTCATTCTGTCCGACCTCGTCGATGAGCCGATTGGGGACTACGGCCTGACGTTTTTCGTCACGGAAGAAGAGGCAGAGCCTGTATTTCTTGCGGCATCGGAGCAGATGATTGGGGAGGGAAACGCCTGGATCGGCAGCACGATCAATTATCGACGCCAAGATGAGCTCAAGAAAAAGTTCACCAAGCTGGTCAAGGAGGTGGCGGCCTGGCTTCGGTCGCACGACTATGTCGGGCCGGCTGGGGCGGACGTTCTAGAGACGGCGTCTGAGTCGGTCATGGACGAAGGTGTCGATGATGACCTGGCGAGGTACCACATTGTTGACCTCAATGTGCGGACGTCGGGATCTTTGGCGCTGCCGCTCATGAAGACGCACTTCACTGGTCGAGGTCTCGACAACGCATCCTCATTCTCCATCAGTTCCAAGCACAGCCGCGATGAATTCGTGGCCCTTTTCCGAGACGATTTTGAGTCGGGCAAGATGTGCATCCTCAGCTGGTATCAGGATCGTGACACTGGAACGAGCCTAGCGGACGTGGCCGTGGGAGCCGCGACGCCAGAGGACTTGAAAAAAGAAATGCAGAGGGTGCGCGACGCCACAGACGAAGTAACCTTTTAGCCATGAGACTTCTGAGCGTGCGGGAAAACGAGCAAGACAGAGCTGGTAGAGATCCGACCATAGACACGACGTAGGGACACGCCGAACATTCTTCAAACCCCGTGCACATCATGATGCCTCCCTGACGACCATCTGCTCAGGCTGCCTTCCCTTGCCCTCGGCCAAGACACCCGCCTTCCTCAAAATGTCCACGCAGTTGTTCACCACCTCAGGCTTGACGCCCTCAACACCCGCCGTAAACTTGACCGTCTTGAGCCACTCTCTCGCGTCAGCCTCGGAGTAGTCCAGGTTCGTGCTGATCCACCGCACAGCCTCCTCCTGGTTCTCGTTAAAATGCACGATTCCCTTGTCGAGCTTTCCGAACAGATCCTTCACCCTCGGGTCCAAGGCGCCCTCAGCAGCCAGCGCTGTTGACGCCACAATCTTCCAGCTGCTCCATGGGGTGTAGATCTCTCCCACCCTGCGAATCTCGCCCGAGTCGTAGTACTTCTTGGATGTGAAGTGCTCCCACATGAAGTAATCGGCGTCGCCCTTGTTGACAGCGTCTCGGAGGTTGGCAAAGGTATTGAGGATGACCGTGTCGGAGAAGGGCGCAGCGTCTGACGATCCGAGCCAGCCATGCTGGTCAGCGAGGACGAAGCCCATGATTTGGCTGCCCGAGCCGATGCGGGAGACGCCGATGCGCTTGCTTCGGAGGGAGGAGACGGAGGCGATTTCGGGGCGGGAGGAGCCTGTCGATATGGCCCAGCCTGATGCGCGTTAGAAGATCCCCTGGAGCGCACACGATCCAACGCAGAGGAGTGTCGGGTGACTGGGCAAAGATCGCAAAGGGCACTCACAGAGAGGTGTATCGACGTAGGTGCCAACGAGACGGTATCCGCCGTCGCCCTCGACGCCCTCCTTCCCGAGACCCGCGATCCAGCCTTCAGTGAGGCCGATGCCAATGTCAATCTCACCGCCGCGAAGAGCTGTGATCATGTGGCCTGTGCCGGAGGGGAAGGGCACCAGCGTAGCCTCGAGGCCATAGTGCTGCTGGGCGAAGTGCAAGGGGGTGGAGAAGTGTTCGGGCACGTAGCCGATGCGCAGTGGTGACGACGCCATGACAGGCTGCGAGATGTAGACTTGTGGGGGGGGCTTCCAATTCTGGTCAGCGGGAAACGAGGCCGTGCAGGTGATGGCGCTGACGTTCAAGAAATCGAGACGCGCAAGATATGTCACTGAGCAAAGCTGTCTCGTTTGTGACGAGGAGCGAGGAGCTGCGGGGTCATCGGCAAGCTTGGCTTTGGTGGGGTAAGTGCGTGGTGGGGTAAATGGCTGGTGGGGGTGGCTGCTTGGACGAGGCTGCTTGCCATCGACAATGGCTGGCCGATCAGAGACGCAGTTGATGGGATTGAGAGTCTGCACTCGAGCAGATCAAAGTTTTTTTTTTAGGGGGGGGGGCGGTCGCTTCATCTTGACCAGAACCGTTCATAGCGTCGCAATTGGCCGTGACAACCATGGTTTGCCTAACACTAAGCCTGACCGGCCCGGATGCCATCATATTCTCAAGTGCGGTGTTGATTGTGGACCGCGCATGGCTAATCCGACTATATCGTGGGCGAGACTGAAGATTTCTCATGGATGTAGACGACCTTTGTGATTCTAAGTTTAATGCGCTCAAGGTGCTTAAGGTCATGCCAATAATTCAGTTGGAAGATAGTGACTTACAGCCATCAGGGGATCATGATAATCAGGATACAATGCCCTAGCGTCACGGAAAGTCAAACAATGCGTCTGTAAGTAACAACGAAGCTTCTTGGAAACCATGGTCACAATGGTCCCCAGGAAACCACCTGGGCATAGAGGTAAGAGTGGTCAAATTAAGCCACGGAGATCGTGTAAAGCCAAGCTGGGGTTCTCGATTACACTCCTGCATATATAAAACACCGGGCCCGCCATTCTTCGCGTTCAGGCCAAAGTTCAGCTGCTACTTACCCCTTCCGTTATCTGCGGAAGACAGCCCTCGTGAAATCCTCACTAGGACTTCGAACGTAGCCCTTACACCTGAGGAGGATTGCATTTCCCACCCTTGCAGCCCTCACGCGCGAAACAGCTAAACCAAAATGGCGACAGGATGCGGCCTCACAAGACGCTACAACACGAGGCTTTATACGCGGACCAAGATTGGCTCCTGGCTCTGCTTGCCGACTGAACTCCGGATCATTATTCTGGAGACATTTACACGCGACAAACATCCTGGCTGGTCGGCACTGGCCTCTGTATGCAGAGAATGGCAGTACATTATCGCGACGAAAAACCTCCGTAAACTGGAACTCCGCTCATCCTGTCTAGAGAGTTTTGGACGGCTCATTACTTTGCAACGAGGTTTCGTCCGCCACATCTGGCTCAACGTTGTCGTACAGAACAACACATGTCCGCATTACCAGTTCTCCCAACAAAACGGACCTCTCATCGTCAGCGCAATCCGGAAGATATTTTCAATCCTCAGTAAATGGAAGCCAGGGAGAGGGTTGACTCTGGAGCTACACGCGCATCGTCCCAGTGACCAGGACCGATTCTTCAAGGGGTTTTATTTCGCCACCGACCACGAGGGCGAAGTCGGTTCTGGGGCTTCTCACCCAAGGTGGCATCATCCACTTCATAGATGGTTCGATCGCTACAGTTTTGGACCTCCAACCAGATCAGCCATATCCGGCCTTTTCGAACAGATTACGCTCAATTTCGGTCAGCAGAAGCTCCCCCGCGCCGAGGTTGTGACACGCCTCATCGTACGCCGACACTTACGTCGAAGGCTCAATTACTGGTCATTAAAACCTATATTGGATAGCCTTCCTGGTCTACGGCACATGGTGTACGAGCCGTGGCGGGGGTGGGAGAATTTGCGGGCGAGCAGAGCTGATATGGGTGAGTTGTCATCTTCATGCCTGCCGAGATCCATGGATTTTGAGACGCCGTGCTGCGTACTTGCGCTAACGGAATACTTGGTAGAACATAGCCTACTGTTCCAGCAGAGTCTCCCTGCAACAGTCAAGACATTGACTGTGTTTGAAGATTTCAACGAGAAAATCGCGGAGGCACTGGTCCGCAACGACAGCGTGGCCTGGCACAGCAGTGTGGCCCGCCACCGGATCGCGGATCCGGTTTTGGGTGCTATTTTTGCCTTGAAAAGTCGCAAACTTGAGCGTCTCTCCGCGTCCTTCTTGGTCGACGCCGAGGACTTCTTTGATTCCTGCATCAAGCAACACGGGACCTGGCGCCGCTTAGAGACTCTGGCCCTGACAGTTCGACTCTTCCAGGAAGAAACGCCCCACCAAGAGATCAATGATCTCCTACTCAAAGCCAGCGAGGTAGCAGTACGGATGCCTACGTTGCGTACCTTGGTGCTCTGGAACGGCGCCAGAGGGAATGCGTGCGCTTTCATATTCCAAGCGAAGCACGGCTGCGCATTTCTCACCTGGCGCGGCACGTGGGATCACGAGATAAGCCGTAGGGTCGAGGAGGGATGGGAGCAAGCTGCGTCGCGGATCCATTCGTGTTCCGTCACGACCAAAAAGGAGAGAATTCGGGGCCAAGTGTCGTCGCACGGCGATGCTATTCACCTGTTAAACTTACCCTGCCAGGTGGTCGAGCCTTCATCCCTGTGGCAAATCCGAAGGGAGGGAGCATTGCCCACACTGTAAACCACAGAGGAGAGTACCGATGACACTGTTCTTGGGACAAACATCGGTAAAGGTGGAAGAAGAGGGGTGGGGAAACAGGGGATCACTGTCGCGGGGCAGATTCGCGAGCCGGTGGCCTGAATATATTGCGTAACAGTTATCGAGGAGGAGATAACGGATGTGTTGGTCTCAGTCTCTACCTACGGTGCCTATGGAGAATGGCAGTCGGTTGTGGTGTATTTCTGGTTCGACAAGCCCTCCAAGAGGGCAGCTCCAGGAGGTAGTAGGCCTGTGTTCACACGAATACGCCATGTCAGCCAGTAAGTACAGCATCAGGAACCATACAAAATCCAAGTGACACTACTTGGAAACCCTAAGCGGAATTGTCATACAAGCTCCAACGAAATTGGAGGTGGTTGCAGGTGCTGCGCGGGTAGCCATCAGTTTTGTAGGTACATCAGGTGCCTGGTCCACCGACGCAAGTCACTCCAGTGGACCTTTAGTGCCTGAGAGCCTACCTACTTATAGTGACAGTCATCCCCCGAAGCCGGCAGAGCGAGCGCTGATCACTCGTATTCATCACCGGGTTCGCACGAGGTAATCAATGGTCTGATATCTTCGAACTTGGCCAAGAAGGAGTCATCCCAAGCTCATGTGCCCTCTGAACGACTACGGAGGCTCTCACTAATTGAGAATGAGCACAACAAGAATGAGCACGAGACGAACATCGGCCAATAATGGGACGATGTCGGATATTTGTACTTGCAGCTTTGGGATACACCTACTCTTATCACGACATGGATCCAAAGGCCCAGACATTCACCGTGTCGCTTCGATGCGACAGCCCAGGGGCGTCGGCCCGGTCATCAACGACCCTGCAAACGCAAAGACGGAAAGTTTCCTCTACCCTCCCCCGCTGGTGAGCAATGGAGGCGCCCGATCGTCTGAAGCAGCGTAGCATCGTCGCCCGATGCCTGTTGAAACGTCTATGAGACGGTCTGATCTGCGAGCCAGGGGGGCCGCCTCTGTGTCATCGGGTCTCACGACTGTGGGGCACCTGTCACAGCGCCAGCCCCCGCCTGAGCTTCAGGGCGCTTTCAAACCACCATTCAAACAACCGCCGGCGCCGTCTCGTGATGGCTGTGCTCGGTTTATAATACAGAATGGGCCCCCTCGTCTGCGACCTTGGTCCTCCTCGTGGTACTGCTGGTCTGTCTGCTGGATTTCGGTCGTTGCTTCTCCTCCATTTGCCTTTCTTTCTCAACTCTGACGGCCGGGCTGTCCTTCATTCATCCTTCTTTCACTCTTCTTCAACCCTTCGACTTTCGAGTGGCCGGCTACTCTCCTTAACTTGCGACTCTCCTTGAATACCCTCCTCACGCTCAGCGAAACTCCGTGCCACAATCTCGCAGTCCGACGACAGCAATAACAAGCAGAACGACGCTCTCCATTCTGTCACCATATTCCTAGCTCTGTCATAATGTACACCATGCGGCTCCTCCTCGCCCGCCTCCTCCTGGCCCTGTGCCTCACAAACGCCGTCTCGGCCGGCCGACTCCTCGCCGACGCCGTCGTCATCGCCCGCCAAGACGCCGCCCCGGCCAGCAACCCGCTCGCCCAGCCCCAGTGCATCGAGTACTCCCGCACCGCCAACTTCTCCACCATTGGCTCCAACATCACGCTGCGCTCGGCCTTCATCCAGGCGTCGCCCTTTGGCACCCACCAGAACCTCAACTTCCTCGCCGCCATGGTCGTCGCGCTGCCGCCCATGACGGCCGACGCCGCCCTCAACGCCGCCTGCGGCAACCTGACGACCGTCGCTGCTGCCGAGGCCGCCAGGAACTTCTCCCAGGGCAACATTGCCGGGTTCCCCACGTCGCTGACGGCGGATGCGACCGTCGCCGACTGGCAGGTCATCTTTTGCATGTTTGCCATTGTCACGCTCATGGGCATCCCGTGGCTGTTCATGCTGGGCTGAGGCCTTGGTGTTGTGGCTGCCGCGTGTGCGGAGAGGGAGGACGGTTCATCCAGGCATCTTTGACAAAGGCCATGATTGACATCGTGGAGCATGGTGGTTTGAAACCGGCAGGGGGGGCTTAGCGGGTTGGATAGGTAATGCTTCGAATGTTGGCTGTATCAAGTCTCCTCCACTCTCGCGTTTCTGTTGCACATGATTTCTCCTCATCGGCGGTGTTCGCTCCTCCCTCGTGACGCTCCCACTTTTCTCAAGGGCAACTGCATCGTCTGGATGACGCTCCGTCGTGTCATTGTGTCAACGTGTGCACCCCGTTGTGTGTCTGACCGAGAAGGAAGATCCGAGAGGAAATCACGACCAGCCCTGTTGCAACAAATCACGTAGCTGATCCATATCCCGGGCCTCGGTCCGGCCCACGAGTTTTGACTGGTGGGTTATCAGTCATGAGCTATGTGCAGTGCGCCTTCTGACGTCTTGGGATTCTAATCTAGTGATGGAGACAACGAACCGGGGACGCGCTATACAGGGCTCCTAAGTTTAAGATCCTGCAAACAAACAATCCAAACCAGCTCTCTTCTACAAAATTCCACCTGCCAAGGCTTCAAAGAACGATGTGTACACGACAGGTCTACCGAGCGGCGAAATTCTCCTCATCCTCTGCTGCAGACTCATACCCCATGCCGTCAACCCCTTCCTCGCCGCTCTCCGTCTGCACTGGCGGCTTTATGTGTTTCGGTTCGCGTACCATCATGAATGCCGACATGGCACATACGTGCAAAAAGGAGACATACAGCCAGGGCAGTCCCCTCATGATGCCGCCCAGGTGCATTCCCGCTGAAAAGGTCCATGCCAGGACTGGTCCACCGATGAAGGCTCCGAGTGTCTCGACGATGCTACACATGGCATAGAGGCGCGAGGTGTGTTCTTTTTCGACAAATGCCGTGATGAGAGCGCGTGCCAACGGCGGCGTTGCGGAGCCGAGTGTGCCGAGTGCAATAGCCAGAAGAAATGGCACGATGGATGGGCTGACGGCTTGCAAGAATGCCGAGATTGCAAGGATGCCATACGAGGCACGGGTCAAAAGGAGGTCCTTCGTAAAGTCGTTGAGGCGCAGACGACGGCGAGGCTTGAGGAGGTGGGCCGACAGACGTGGCAGGGCGGTCAGAACGAGGAGGTGGCACAGGGCGATGGGTGAGAGGATATAGGACGTCTGGGCGAGTGACCAGGAGAAGTACTTGCTGATGTACTGAGAAAGAGTCGACGAACTAGAAGTAAACATTGTGCTAGCAGTCAAGGGTGCCAAGAGGCAGAAGAGAACGCTGCGGTTGCGGAGCAAAACTCTGGCGCTGGCGAGCTCGGCAAGAGATGTGCGGACATGGTCCTTGACGGTTGCCACGAAAGGCTCAGTCGGTTCAGGTATGGCGTCGCCATCAGGCAGCTTGACACGTAACGTCTCGGGCAGGAGACTAGCAGCTGTGAGGATGACTGGACTCAGGCAAAAGACGATGCGGATTGGGACCCATGGGCCGTATGTCTCTAGCAGAAAGCCGGACAGCAGAGGCACAAAAAGTCCCGCGATAACGGCGCCTACAGAGAGGTACAGAAAATGAGTCGACCGGTTGGCTTCGTTGCTGACATCTGCAGCCATGGCATAAATGTTGTTGATGGCAAGGGGCACACCGCCTCCAATCAGGAAGAAGACGTGTCCTAAGAGGAGGACCCAAATGCTTGGGAAGTGCGAAAGTGAGAGGACGAACGGGCCCCAGCCGAATCCAAGTAGAATCCCCACATAGGCGAGAAAGAAAGCCGGCTTACGACCCATCCTGAACAGTTGTCAGTAAAGCACCATGCATGTGAACAGGACGGTCGAACTCACCTGTCCGCCAACACACCATATGGAAAAGCGACGACTAGCGTGACAAGGGACGCCACCAGGGCCCCAATGCCACCCAGGTAGGCCAACTGAGACTGAACATCATCAACCTTGCAGTCCTTCTCATCAATCGGCTCGGAGACGTCCTTGTGGTAGTGCACGTGGCAAATGGCGTCTTCCATCAGGCGGACCATGGGTGTCATGAGCAGGACCCCGCTGGCGATGAGGATACCCTTGATGGTGGCAAGCAGCAGGACGATAGCAAAGGGCGTGTCTGGTCGGAAACGATTGACGTTGAGCTTGCATGCCGCAGTCTTCCAGGTGGTCCACCAGGGCTGCCATCGCGCGCGGCCCCGCGATGCTACTGATGGCGAGGCAATCCAGGGCTCGTCTTCCGCCTCAACATCGGCGAAAAGGGCGAAGTCTCCGACATCATCCTCAAGCAGAGGCTCGACATCTGCATCTGCATCGTCGCGATATCGATTCATGATCAAGAAATGATTGATTCCATCTGGTGGCAACAAAGCTTGGTGAAGTGGCGATGTCGCCCGTAGTAATGTCGTTGGGATCAATGTCGATGTTTGAGCTGAGGCTGACGACAAGCAGGCTCAAACAGGTTTAGCGACTTGGGTTTGCTGGATGAACGAGTACGTCGCCCTCGGTGGCTGAGGCGGCGAATGTACGCCCCATAAGGCTGACTTTCAGTGGCTTGACGCTTTCTGAAACGCCGTCCCCCACGACTACAACTGCGAACACGACGATGTGCGATCTCTCCCACAACTTAATCTAGCTCCATGGTTCCATCATCCAGACCATTGGCTAGATCACGAGTCAGCCGGTGAGAGTCGTACTTTTGCTCCTACTGCTTCATGCGTCAAGCTTTGTCGCATTGCATCCGACCTGACTGCCCGGTGAAACAAGACAAGAAAGCAACATGAAGAAGAGATGCATGCACCCAGCCACCCCCGGTTACCCATCGCATCCATGATCACTTTACAAGGCGTCGTAGGCGATGCGAACCTGCCTCGGGTTCGGGTTTGTTCGGGTTTCAACTTGGCGGGGGTGGGCTATCCATTTACCTGGACGTCGGGGACGTGTCATATTCCGAGACTCTCTTCCATGCTGGTCACTCGATCAGGTTCAGGATCACCAACAAAGTGCGTCTACACTTTGTCGGATATACCCTCCTTCTTGCGTAAAGGCCGAATGTGTCCCCCATAGCAAACCAACTCAACACTTTTAGTTCTCCGGCTTGCAGCCCGGCCGCCGTGGACATGCATTCGTTTATCAATCCGGGCGCCTCGAAGGTTCAACATACTCATCTACCATCCGACGGATCAATGGGCACTATGTAAGGTCCAAACCCCGTCTTGGCGACAGAGTCTTCTCGGACTTGACGCAAACAGGAAACATTGGCCGCCGGTTGAGTGTTGTTCCAGTAAGCACGTTGGCCAGATGCACAGCACGCGAGTCAAAACGCCAGCTGAGGACCCCCGCCTGACCCCCACGAACCTGCATTCCCCGTTGAGTTTCACCGAGAAGCGTCCACCAAGCCCACGACTTCCGGCATTATATCCGACTTCCGAGCCCACTTAGACATCTTCTAGAGCCCTCGAGCACTCGGCAAAAGGCGACGGCGTGGCTGCGGAGCGGGGATCGGGCCTGTTCGAGATTGACCGCTCAACTCGCCTAGCCGGCCATGCCGGAGATGTGCCGACTCATGGCTCAACAGATGCTACGTAGTGTCCAGGTGAAGCAGGCTTCGCTGCTTGTCAGGAGCTTCAGGTCGACAGGGATCGGTCCACCAACGTCATCCGGTGTGGGTGGCTCAGTGGCGTGCACCCTTCAGTGAGCCAGGGATGCAAAGGTTTCCGCGCAACTTACCCCGACAAAACTGCCCGAATACCCCGACTCCTACATACAGCAAATGCCAGAAACGTCCAGCGACAGGGGAGAACCCCACACAGCAACTGCCCGCAAAATCAAGCATAACTGGGCAACGCCACAGGCCACGAGACCAGGTGTCCAGGGCTGAAGTGCCGATCCCACCGTGTAGAGACGACAGCACTATGACCGGCATGACGAGCAGGACGAGCAGGATATCGGGCCATCCGCCCAGGAGGAGCACCGACGCCGTCCTTTTTTGGAACGTGCTACGAGACGATGCAACGTGATTAATTTCTCGAAAACATCTTCATCGCTGCGGGCCTGTTTGTCCAGCTTGACAAATTTTGCATCTCTAGGACAAGTTATTGGAGATTGAGGGCGTGGGGGTTCTCCACGTTCGCCCCATTTGACCCCCAACATTTGCCCCAAGCGGCCCCCTCCTATCCCCCCCAACACGAGAACAAGCCCGCCGCAAGGAGACGGACTACGCGGGGAAGCATGGCGACATGGTCCGGCACTTCATACACGCTACAGCGGCGTGGGAGAGAGGAGCACCTCTGGGGGCGCTCGCTGCTTCCCACACTCCATTCCATCCCATCCCAAACAATAGCTTGCGGAGACTAGCGGGGCCCCCTGTTTATCGTTGAACCCCATCGCAAGAACCTGACCATGGATCGTACTTGTCAGCCCAGGGGTTAGTTTCCGGGACCGACCCGCCAGTCCGTCAAAATCTGAGGCATCACGATGAGGAACCCCCACGCCCTCTCTCCAACATCTTCTCCACGTCATACAGGCCGCTTTGTTCCTGGCTCCATGGGGATTTGGCCGCTAAAACCGGGGTAACACTCATGGCACTTTGGTCCGCCACTCAACGCTTTATATGAGAGGACGATCCCCCTCCTGTCGGGCCAGCCTCTCCTGATCAGTCGTTCCGTCTCTTACCTCTCTCTTTTCCTCCTACCTCAGCTCTTCGAATTCCAACATGAGCGACGCACCCAAGGTAGATGCCCACAATGGGCCTGTTCACGACCCCGATCACCTCGAGGCCGCGCCTCGCAGGTCTTCCGACAAAGGTCTCGCCGACGGGCCCCCCAAGGGCGGTGGTCCTCTTTCTGACCCAATCTATCGCGCCAAGGTTGAGAAGAGCATGAAGCGCAAGCTCGACACGCGGTGTTCGCTGTTCGTTCTGATCTATATCATGAACTATCTCGACAGGAACAACATCGCAGCGGCCCGTCTCCGT